TTCATGAATCTGATTTTTGTTTTCCCTTTAATTTCTTGTGTAAAGAATTATCATTCAATACCCTAAATTACATGTATGGACCCAAACTCACCAGGTTGCCAGGTCACCAAATTGCCAGGTGTACAAATTTCAGCGAGCAACAATCTACTTCAATAAGTACTTCACCTACATCAAATTTAAGTTTATATTTGTGAAGAATGGAATTAAGGCATAATTCTACTACCTAATACAGGAGAAAAATTGGATTACTGAATTTATTTTTCATTTTTCCATAGACCCTGGCCTTGGCCTTGGTTAATTTATTTAAGTTACTTTGACTTGAGCTTTCAAATCTGGTATACAAGTACAAAAAGATAGGCTCAAAACCGCTCAAAGGAGTCAAAGCTAAGCTAATAGTAATAGTACGCAGCTTCCTGAAAAAACAGTAAGTCAGTAGGTTTGTCTATTGACATTAATGTATTAAATTAAAATTAAAGTATTAATTATCAATTGTTAACCTGAATAAAAATATAAATCAGTCTTCAGACATCATCTCAATTTGAACACAGATCTAATAAACTCCATCTTCGATCTTCATAAATGTTTGACTCCCAGCATTCTGATGATGTGCCTCCTCCAACTCTCTGGCGAAAGAGCTTGAAGTTAACCGATGACGGCCAAGCGCAATTGCAAAGGCCACCTTCATTCACCGCCCGCGCCGACGGGGTAGCGGCGACATGTCTCCGCTACGCGCTAGCTATCAGCTGGCTTCCTTACCAACCGATAAGACTAAATTTTGTAATCAGACTAGATCTATTCAATTTGCAGTTTTTGCACGACAACCTCTCACCTCAAATAACACTTTTGTTTATTAAAATTATATCAGTATAGTATTATGATAAATGAATGATATTTACAAATGGGAAATACAATGAATTTTAGTTGCAAACACAAGAAAATAGTGTATTCTGACAACAAATTTGTTTTCTTCGAAGCTGCACACACAACACACAACACACATTCGCTATGGAGCAACTAGCGGCGATTTGAAACCGTCATTTAATCAGATCAAGGCACTTCATTTAATATCCAAGACAATGTAAGCGATAATTTCTTACCTGCACAGGACCTTGATGACCATATCTTCTTTAAAAGCATAATTATTGCCAAAAGATGGGACAGATCCCCAACTAATCGAAAGACATTCATGATGATTTGCCGGTTTCGTCTGTCAAGTTCGAAAGATGGCTGAGTTGACGTGGCGTGCGATGCTGAACCCACAAAATATGACTCAATGCCGTGTGTTTATATGGCCAATCGATATTTGTTTGAGAAGCAGCGAAATGGTATCGGGGTTTTACAGTCTAGAGTTTAGAGTTTGCCATCAGAAAGGTGACACATGGCAAGGCTCTACCGGAAATTTATAATTTTTGTTTTCTTTTCAAACTATTTCACCGCGACAGCAGTTTTCCACCCAGAGAGTTGTTTTAATTAAATAAATGAGAACACTTCTAAAATTTACTTTAATAGCATTTCGTAATAACCACATTAATTTTTTTTTAAAGGAATGTGGCAATGATGGGCCAATCTATTTTATTGAAAATTGCTGATCTGTCTTTTCCCGATGTTGCATGTGGCACATATAGAGCGGGGAGTATATTTGCCTATCCATTTCCTCCTAAATTGTTGCTTCAGCCCAGGCTTCCCCAGCTCCAAAAGAAGGAAGTAGGCATATACTTTGTCAAGTACACTTACCAAAAGTGAATCAATTCCCCCCAAATAGCAGCCTGTCGTACTTTTTTTTGTGCCGGGGGGGGGGGGGGCAGGAAAATGTATTTTGCTAAAATTATTGAAGAAACGGGAATGATGATGATGATGATGATGACGATGATGTTGATATGATGATGATGATGATAATGATGATGATGATGATGATGAAGCCATGATAATGATAATGATGATGATAATGATGATGCATAATAATAGCCTACAAGTGCAGATCAACTATTTCTTCTTCTTGAGCTAGGATCCATAATTAAAGATGATTAGCCTAGCTAATATAGCTAAAGCATATATATTATTAGTAGTAGTAGTAGCCTACTCAGTCGTTATAGAACAACAAACAGGACATACGTTTAATTACATTCATGTTTGTGTTTTTTAATCTTCGAGATTTATGGAAGCTGAAATTCGGCCTTTATTTTGCAAACAAGAAACACATGATGTGTGTTTTCCCCAATCAATCGGGCCAACTTCACTGCGTGATGGGAAAGTGACCCTTACATCCCATATACTTTTTTTACAGCACCAATATACAGCTCCAAATCCAATATTTTGATATCGGTCGAAAGCTTGAATGAAATTTTCAGAAATGAGAGCCCCATGCACCCCCTCCAAAGTCCCATTCTCGTGTTAAAAACATTTAGTTTTAATATTGTTTTTTAGTCAAGATTCAAACTGCAGCTTATATCCGCTAGTGCTGTCCTCGCAGTGCGAAAACTACATCTTAATCTTATAAAGAGGAAAAAACCAATCCTCATCGGGTTATAAATAAGCACATTCTCATAACAGCAAACTGAAAAGACCTTTGATAAGTAACATATAATTATAACATCTATAAATGTGAGCGAGCGTAGCGAGCGAGCTTTTGGAGATATTGCTCTTAGTCGCTTGAAATTAGGGGCACGTTTAATGATGAGAGGAAAGTCGAAGGGGTAAGACACTTATTAGAATATAAAAGGAGCACGTGTCAAAGTACAAAAGAGGCAACCATCAGATTTGAATAGGGGCATTTATGAAAAGGGATAGGTTAATTATCACAGATGAAAATGGGCACTTATCGAACCTGAAAAGGGGCCAGGGCTCAAATTAAATTTTTGTCCACGGGGGCTCTTTCCCCCAAAAAAGAGCCCCCGTGAACCTTCTCACGGGGGCTCTTTTAGTGCTGACGGGGGCTCTTATTTTAATACAAATTTCCATTGAATTGGTACCCATGAATCTCCTAAATTCCTTGTTTTTTATCATTATCATTTATCGTTCACGGGATCGTTCATGAGCCGCGTAGCGGCGAGGCGATTTTTGTTGTTGCTATTTTGAACCCCCGTAAGACAGTGATCTTTTCCTGACATCTTCTAACATGCGGAGCATTTTTTGGTGCTATTTTGAACCCCCGTAAGTGATGCTTTCCTGGCATCTACTGACATCTATACTGTGTAGGTCTGGACACAATATTGATGGCATTTTTCTATGCACATCACATTTTCACTTGACAGCCCAAGGGGGAGGGGGGGTAGGAGGGTTGGTTAAACCCCCTCAACCGCCTAGATCCGCCCCTGGAACATCTTTGGTCTTGTTCTTCTTCTCGATATTGATTTACTGGTCTTTTAGAATCGCAAGATTTCAGAGAATTCACACTTTTCACAACGAAAAACTTCTGCATATTTCAGTCTTTGCGTGATCGTCTTCAGCTCCTGCAGATATTGGGCGTAAGCGTGAAAACCTGTATTACCGGCGCAGTATAGCCACTGCTGACGGCCGCACAATACAGTGCGAGCTTCCGTTTTTTTGGTTTTGGTAATACTCATAGAGATGGGAGAGATGGCGCCATCTAAGTTCCATTTCATTGGTTTAAGGTTTGAAAATTGATACTCAATATTGTGTTAAAGTTATATCAGAAAAGATAATCTTTATTTTATAATTCCACGGGGGCGATTTTTAATTTTGCAGTCGCCCCCGTGAGCAACCTGACGGGGGCGATTATGGAGCTCACGGCGGGGGAGAATCGCCCACCGCCCCCGTGTATTTTGAGCGTTGAAAGGGGCAATGGCCATACATGAAAAGAGGCACTTATGAGAATGAAAAAGGTACACTAAAGATAAAGGGAAATGTGCATTTGTTGAAAGAAAAGGGGCACCGATCAGATTTTGATAGGGGCAATCATCAAAGATGAAAAGGGGTAATTATGAGAATGGGAAGGGGCACTTATAAGAAGGGAAAAGAGCATTTATTTGGAAGGAAAAGGGGGACGTGTCAAAATAAAGGGGCATCTGCACTTAACAGGAGGGGAAGGGCCGGTACTTGTCAAAGTAAAACGAGTATCTCTTAGAATTGAATAGGGTAATTTACAAGATATGAAAAGGAGCACTTATGAGAATGAAAAGGAACTATTTTCATAGATGAAAAGGGGAATTTATGAGAAGGGAAAGGGGCTCTTTTTTAAATGGGGGCACTTATCATAAGGAAAGGAAAAGGAAAGGGGGCACATGTGAAAATATAAGGTGCGCTTATCCAAGTTAAAAAGAGGTAGTTATTAAAAGGGGAAGGGGCACTTTTTACAAAGGAAAAGGGGAACTTGTCAAAGCAAAAGGGGATTCTCTCAGATTTGAATAGGCCAATGATCAGAGGTGAAGGGGTGTTTATCAAAAGTGAAAAGAGGCGCTTCTCGTACCTGAACAGGGGAACTTACTAGAGATTTAAAAAGGCACTAAGGAGAATGAAAAGGGGAAGGGGCACTTTTATAAATTAATAGGGGCACTTGTGAAAAAAAGTGGGAGCACTAGCTGTGCCCCCCCCCCCGGGAGCGCCGACTCTGGGTGGGATTACCCGTTTATTAATTAGTCAGAAGCTAAGCTCAAAATTAATGATATTGATGAATCTGTGCGACCATGGGCGAGGACTTTGACCACTGAAAGCGAAATTATTTCAATTATTTTTGCGAGATTTCGCATCTGGAATTTTCACTGTATATTATCCCGAAGAAAATAGAAACCCAAGATCTGAAAAGTGTGAGCACTTAAAGGGATTTTGCAGCACAAAATCATACCCAATGTTTAGGGGAAAATGACTTTCGGTTGTCTAATTGCCCTAAAACCAAAAACAGCCCCCCCCCCCAAGCCTTTTAATACATAATCATTTTTATTAAAAAAACCATAGAGATATATAATAGTAGTATATATCTCTATGAAAAAAACGTATTCTTCTTTTTCTTTGCATTTTTGTGAACAAGTGGCTTGCCATAGTCAAATTGTTACCCTTAGATCCGGATCCGGAGTATTTCGAGGAAGACTCAAAATGTCGTCCCAGGGAGAACAGAAAGACCTTGCTGCTGAATTCATGTCGAAGGTCAAGATTACTGATTATCCTGATCTAGGTAATTGTTGTCATTCAATTTTGAGATCTATTCCGCTGCTGAAAATTCGAGCTGAGCTGTGCCTGTGTTGTGGCAGTCAGTGTTAATGTGTTGTGGCTGTGCCTGTGCAGTGTGGCCATGGGGCGTGCCTGCGCCTGTGCGGTTTTTTTGTGGCGAGCCTAGCCAGGCTGCAGCAGCGCCAGTGCTGCAGGCAGCTTGCCCTGCAGTACCAAGTTTCATGGCTAAATATGCCTTCACACTCGCTCTGGCTGAGCCTTTGAGTTACTTTAAATTTAGTGTCGAAAGCTGGTGTTGGTGTTGTGAGAACACCAACCCCATGCTCCCATAGGCCTAGACCGAAAGCTTCAGTCTCTATACCGTCGGTTGTTCCACTGAGACTAGAACTACGTCTGGCTCCACTAGACCTCCGGTTATAGAGACAGAACGATCGCCTATGCCAGCCTATGTTGAAGATATCACGGCTAGATTTTAGCCGTTAGGCCCCTCCCACAAACATGAACAAACTTGCCATGGCCGTATTGTTATGCCCCCAAAATCCCCCAAAATGTCATTTTACCTCGTGCATATCCAATTTTACATTAGGCGTAGGCTATATTACATCGGTTCCACTTACTAACTTGATTGAAATAATCCGTTTAATGGTCCCTTTTAAGGAAATTATGGGTCAAAATCGACATCCATGTTGAAAATCTTGCAAGCCGTGTTAAACTCTCGCTGCCGTCAATCTCATCCCTACTAGTCTACGCCGAAGGCAAAATGATTATGAAGGAAAAACTGTGCGCCATCTACACGTTCGTAATGGTGTTATCACAGTTTTTCCTTCATAATCATTTTTGCCTTCGGCGTAGACTAGAAGGGATGAGATTGACGGCAGCGAGAGTTTAACACGGCTTGCAAGATTTTCAACATGGATGTCGATTTTGACCCATAATTTCCTTAAAAGGGACCATTAAACGGATTATTTCAATCAAGTTAGTAAGTGGAACCGATGTAATATAGCCTAGGCCTAATGTAAAATTGGATATGCACGAGGTAAAATGACATTTTGGGGGATTTTGGGGGCATAACAATACGGCCGTGGCAAGTTTGTTCATGTTTGTGGGAGGGGCCTAACGGCTAAAATCTAGCCGTGATATCTTCAACATAGGCTGGCATAGGCGATCGTTCAGTCTCTATAACCGGAGGTCTAGTGGAGCCAGACGTAGTCTCAGTGGAACAACCGACGGTATAGAGACTGAAGCTTTCGGTCTACCATAGGCCCAGCCAGTAGGGGCGCTGGTTCGAGAATGAGGATCGTCCGCATAAACGAGGATATCCTCGTAAACGCGTACAAATCATGTCCTAAAAAAATAAGGATCGTCCGCATTTTGGCTGGAAACACAAATACATGCCAGAAACACAAATACACGCCGGAAACACAAATACACGCTGGAAACACAAATACACACAGACGCAGTATAGGCTACATGAAAACAACTGTTCTCACACTGCCAATTTGATACTTTCATTACAATTTTTACACAGCTATTATTAATAGCTGTGTATAAAATAATGGCCCAAAATCTTTGCATGTGCCGAATGTGCATAAATTAAGTATCAAATTAGCAATGCCAACGCGAAAACAGCTGCTGTTGTTTACACACTGCATGTGTTTGTTTCTCCGGCAGAACCAACCAACAAACCAATTTTCCTAAACTTGCTTAATACCTTGTAATCAGCTTTCTCCACAGCAAAACCAAAATCAGTTGTAAAAAATGATACCAAATTGTGCAACTTTCAGATATAGTTCTGAAATTTAATTTTGATTTGTGGACTCTATTTAATCGAAATTAAATTTCAGATCGACATCTGATCCCGTCTTTTTCGTCATGAATCAAGGATAGCTCAACCCAGAGTTTGTTTTTTGTTTTTTTGCACAATTTTTTGATATAATGCACTTGCATTGTAAGGTGTTTGGGACTAAAATTACGTAAATAACTTACACAGCAGACGCTATAACATTGAGGTTTAGCTAGAATGAAGCACTTTGTTCCCCAAAAAAGTATTTTCTGTTGAAATTTACAGGAGTAATCTGCTCAAGATTATGGTATAATGTTTACAATTTATGGTATAATGCTTACAATTTACTACCTTTTTTCTCTCACTTTGAAGGAAACCGTTTTGAACCCAAGACTTCGGAGCCCATCACTCGTCCTCTCGATAGTCTAGATGAAGTCTTATTATGGCAACCAGATGACCAGTTCAACGTTGCCAATTCCCCGCTGGCTACTCCAACGACCCCCGCTGAACCTCGACCTATGACCCTTGTGTGTCATGACATGAAGGGGGGTTACATTGATGATAGGTGAGCAAGATTGACTGTACATGGAAAAGTCATGTGGAAAAGATATTGGCGTGACCTCTGACCTTCATGTGTAGGACTCGACACTGACAGGCACAGGGACATGTGGGCACCCAGAAATTATATTGGGTTCCCCCCCCCCCCCCAACCAAAAAAGGGAAAAGATTTTTTGTACATACAGTACATGTATGGTTCTTGAATACAGGCTCTATAAAGTTCAACTTGGACCCCCTCCCTCCCCCCTCCCCCCCCCCAACAAAAAAAAGGGTGTGGTATCTTGTTAATCTTGTTCATCTGATAATTTACAAATGAAAATTGATGACACAAGCTGCAATATATTTCTTTTAAAAATAAATTGTTACTTGCTATATAAAATGGAATGAATTATAAAACAAAATGCCAGGGCTTTACAATAATTTGGGGGGCAAGGGGTCCGGATTGATCTGTTTACAGTCTGTATGTATGAGCCTTATGTAAAACCTTCATAATGTTGATGGTCCGGATATAGATTTTGGGCGCCTGTGTGTTCAGGGCCTCTGTTTGTGTTGAGCACTGGACATGTTCATTAGTATCCCAAGATGTTTAATTGCTGAAAACTGGAATTCATTATTGCAGAAATACTCTTAATATATATGCACTGATTTTCAGGTTTTTTCCCTCCCTCCCCCCCCCCCCCCAAAAAAAGTCTTTCTCTTAAAAAGCACTTGGATGACAATGTAAATGTTAGTAGTGAAGATTACAACATTTATAGTAAATTGAACCCATGCACACTTTTTAATGGATTACCCAAAGTACATTCATTATATCCCTGCCACATCCTCACTCCATTTCCTTTTCCGTCATCACAGATTTGTCCAAGGCGTCCCCATCAGCTCTGCCTACCGCTTCTACCACTGGCAATACATTGACATCTTCATCTACTTCAGCCATCATTTTGTGACCATTCCCCCACCCTGCTGGACGGATGCTGCTCATAAGAACGGCACCCTCATGCTTGGTGAGCACCCCCTCCCTTCCTCATCATGCATGTGTGTCCCCTTACCCTTAGTCTTCAAGCACAGATTCTAATTTGACACCTTGATAATTATAGGTATTTCTATAGCGCCGTCTATCTAGAAATTCTATTCCGAGGCGCATTTATTATCAATCTGGCTTTAGCCTAGCTGCCATTACAGCGCTCCAGCATTTCAAGGAATTAATTCCTGCCAGGTACCCATTTACCTCACCTGGGTGGAGTGTGGCAAATGAAGTTAAATGCCTTGCAAAAGGACATTAGTGCCGTGTCGGGGATCGAACCACAACCTTTGAATTCAGGTCAATTGCTTAAACCACTCAACTGCGACACTTCTACGACACCTTACCACAATTTCTTAAGCCTTGTAGTCTCATAGCGCAGACATTGTTATGCACAACGTCTCACAAGGGTTTGGGAATACAAAATCCCTTGTCCCATAGCCACTATAATAAATGTATGGTCCTACAAATATTTAGCATCATTAACTTGAAAGTCATTCACTTATGTGATAGGTTGGACAAGCAAAGTCTTTTATTCTTATGCTTTCTTTTGTCAAAGATGTAGATTTTACAGGCTTCAACCAGTTCTTTATATAGTTAGGTAAATGGAAAAAATGAAAGTGCAATATATTGTTTAACCCTCCATATTTCTTACATTTCTTACATGTATCCCCGATTATGCACCACATGTTTCTCCTGTTTCTCATATCCTAGAGTACTGCATATATTGAGCATTGTTCTTGCTCTAACCCCAGCCATTCTAAAAATATATATACATTTATATATAGTTTTCTATATTCTGGAGCTCTGTTTTGGTTCGCTTTTGTAAACTTGACATTTTATTGTAGTGATTTTAAATGTTTTTCACCACAGCTCTTTGTCAGTTGTCCGGTGCTACATTGCTCACTTCTCCTTTGTCTTAAAAAAAACTGACTCTTCCTTTTCTTAAGTGCAACATTCTTTTTGTTTTCACAGGAACTGTCATCACAGAATGGCAAGATGGTAAGAAGAGATGTGCCGAGATGTACGGGAGTGAGGCCGCGTGCAAGAGATTTGCAGACAAGCTGGTCGAGATTGCCAAGTATTACAACTTTGAAGGCTGGCTCATCAACATTGAGAACCCCATTCCAGTAAGCAATGTTCCCGTTAGAAATTGTTGGATGGAGTGGGGGAGGGGGAGGGTGAGGGTAAGGGTGGGGGTGAGGGTGAGGGTGAGGGTGAGGGTGGGGGTGAGGGTGTGGGTGAGGGTGGGGGTGAGGGTGAGGGTGAGGGTGGGGGTGAGGGTGTGGGTGAGGGTGAGGGTGAGGGTGAGGGTGTGGGTGAGGGTGAGGGTGAGGGTGAGGGTAAGGGTGGGGGTGAGGGTGAGGGTAAGGATGAGGGGGAGGGTAAGGGTGAGGGTGAGGGTGATGGTGATGGTGATGGTGATGGTGATGGTGATGGTGATGGTGATGGTGATGGTGATTGGTGATGGTGATGGTGATGGTGATGGTGATGGTGATGATGGTGGTGGTGAGGATGTGGGTGATCGTGATGGTGAGGATGATGATGATGATTTTGGGTGAGGAGGAGGAGGAGGATATCATTTTGCCACACTGTTCAGAAAGCAGGCTTAAAGGGCCCATGACATCGAAATACAAGTGTATTCCTGTTGGTGTGCAGTCCTGCATACATCACATATTTTGATATGTAAACTTCCGAATTTGTTTCATAGAGTTTTAAATATTTGTTGAAATATTTGTTTTTCAAACTTGCTAAGCTCCACCCCCAAAACCTCCTAATCTCATTCCCCTTGTGACATCATCTGTCAGTTATCAATGAGCCAACTTGAGAAAGTGGTATGTATCTTTGCCGAAGTCGACCACCTGTTACAATTTGTAATACAATAGCAACATACAAGTTGCTGTGTCAGACATGCTGTAGCATCACCAGGAAAACAAGGCAATGATGATGTATTGTACATATGTATGGAAGCATGCATGCATGAACGTGTGCTAAGCTGGGGAAAATTACATACCATTGTCTATTCTAGAATATTAGTTTAGTCTGACATATCTGACATAGCAACTTATATGTTGCTAATGTTTGTGGTATTGTAACAGGTGGTCGACTTTGGCAAAGTTACATGCCACTTTCTCAAGTTAGCTCATTGATGACTGACAGATGATGTCACAAGGGGAATGAGATCTGGAGGTTTTTGGGTGGAGCTTAGCAAGTTTGAAAAACAAATATTTCAACAAATATTTAAAAAATCTATGAAACAAATTCAGAACTTTACATATCAAAATATGATATGAATGCAGAACTGCACACCAACAGGAATACACTTGTATTTCGATGTCATGGGCCCTTTAAGCCTGCTTTCTGAACAGTGTGGCAAAATGATATCCTCCTCCTCCTCCTCACCCAAAATCATCATCATCATCATCATCATCATCATCATCACCATCATCATCATCCTTACCATCACGATCACCCACATCCTCACCATCACCATATTTAGTCCATCATGGTGGCTTTGAATCCAGGACCTTCTGCTCCATGCCCCAAGGATTGCAATATACAAGTTTTGATAGTTTGGAGGACAAAGGTTTTTTTTCAGGGAAAAATCTTTCATTGACTCATTTATGTCCTAAGTCAGGGAATAACGTACCCTCAGTATTTATTTTTTTTCTAAATTCCCCATGCTTTGTATTAGTAGTATTTATTACCATTATTTTGGTGGAGAACCCTGTTTTTGCTATCTGGAATGAATTTGAAATGCTTCTTGTTCCAAGGTTCATGGATTGCTGGAATATTTGGCAACTTTATCAAGCTGAAATTTGAAGTCTTAGAAATTGAAATAATCTTTAAACTTGGCAAAGTATTTAAAGACGCTGCCTTAAAATTATGCGCAGCCCTCATTTATACTAGTGATTTTTTGGGGGGAAGGGGCATGTAATTTCCATCATCAAAGCTTGCATATATATGACCGTTTTACAGAACGGTTCTTCCTTTCTCTGTTTCTTTCAACAGCCAGAGCACATGCCCCAGCTCCTTTTCTTCGTGCAGTACCTCACCAAGCAGATGCATCAACATATTGAAGGGTCAAAGGTCATATGGTACGACAGCGTCATTGCCGATGGCTCGCTGCGCTGGCAGGACATGCTGAATGATAACAACAGGTAGGCATGGTGAATGTTGGAAGAGTGACAAAAGTGATGAATATTTCTCTATTTATTAAAATGAAATAAAATATTCAAGCTATTCCGATTTCCCAGTTTGATTCAGTAGAAGTGATGGGGATAATGAGCTTTTAATTGAAATATATCTGATTCTTATTATTCAGTTATTATCACCACTGCATGCTTTTCATTACCAACAGCCTATCATGTTTTTTAAGATTGAACAATGGACTCTAAACATACAATGGAACATAAAAGTTGATTTGGGTAAAAAGTTTTTAAGGGGAAGTCCACCCTCATAATTAGCTGTTATAAAATGAAAGCAGAAGAAAGCCCTAAGAGAAACAAATGAGTGAAAGTTTGAGCATCCTCCAATTAAAAGTAGGAAAATTATGAATTTTGAAAGTTTTCATCTGTGAAACACAAATTGGCAACACTGTGACATATCTTGCTAACTCCTCTCCAGTTTGCTCTGTACAGAAATGTCATTAACTTTCATTTCTTTGTTATTGATGAAGGAATAAATTTGTTTTATACAGGGGTTTTATAGAAACATAATAATTGCAATAATTATATTTATGTATGATTGAACATTTTCTTTAGGGAAAATAAGACTTTCTGTGTTTTTTTAAAGTACAGAGCTACTGGGAGGAAACCTCGTAAGATTCGTCACAGAGTTGCCAATTTGTATTTGATTGAGCGCAACTTTGAAAATTCAACACTTTCTTTATTTTTAATCCGATCTTGCTCAAACTTTAACTGACCTGTTCCTGTCATTATTTTGCTTTGATTAGAACCAACTTAATTTCAGGGTAAAATTCCCCAGGATGAAATCTGTACTCATTTTTAGTACATGAAGGATATATTGATAAATGGATGGTTCATGCCAAGTGTCAGGAATTGCAGGAGTTGCCTGTAGAAACTTTCTTTTCTCAAGAAATTCTGAAGTCTTTTCTTGAATGTTAAATTCATTCTGCAGAATCTTCTTTGATGCCAGTGATGCCATCTTCTTGAACTACACGTGGAATGAGAACAAGCTGGCCAGCTCGGTACAGAATGCCGGCCCTCGGAAGCATGACGTCTATGTTGGGGTGGACATCTTTGGAAGGAACTGCTTTGGAGGTGGGGGATGGAACACTAACAAGGTATAGTAACATCAAGTATTAGCTTAAGGGGTTGAAAGGTCACAGGATGTACAATACTGGGCAAGTTTTAGGCCACCTTATATATTTATAATGAAGCTCTGAAGCTTTCTCTAGCTCTCTCTCTTTCTCTCTCTCTCTCTCTCCCGCTCTTTCTCTCTCTTTCTCTCTCTCTTTCTCACACACACTTTCTCCCTCTTTTAATTGTTTAACTTAGATGATTTTAAAATTACTCACACCTCAACTTCCCCCATCTCGTCGTCCGCCCCTCCCCCTCTCCTCCCTGCAATTTGTCATTCTACGGTAACAACGGGTGTAGTACCACTTCCAACCCACTTCCAATTATCCATCAGGACAATCCCCCCTCAGTATATTCTTTAAATTCTATTCTTTTAGACTTTTACTTGTTTTCTGTTTACTACAATAACAACCTGTGTAGTACCTCTTCCAACCCACTTACAATCATACACCTGGGCCCGTTGCATAAAACTTACCATTGATGGTAACTTTGCCGTCAATAGCATGTACCATGGTAATAGGGCTCAACAGCCAATCAAAGTCATGGTAGTTACCATTGATGGCAAGTTTTGTCCAACGGGCCCAGGACAATTCCCTCCCTTTCTTTGCCCCCCCCCCCCCCCCCCACCTCAGAGTATATTCTTCAAATTCTAATCGTTTAGACTTTTACTTGTTTTCTGTTTCCTTCAGGCTATGGAAGTGATAAAGAGGCAGGGTCTCTCGACTGCCATCTTTGCTCCAGGCTGGGTGATGGAGAAGCTAGGAGAGGCAGACTTTGTCGCAAACCAGGACAAGTACGTTAACCCATATAGCAGTTCAGTGTCTCTCTTAAGCTACGGTCACAAAGATTTTTCACGAACGATGCGTTTGTACGAATCTCCCTGTTCGTACAAATTCCAGAGTTCGTAGAGAATCGTAGATGGGGCATAGTTTCTTACGTCCTTCTTACGGAGTTCGTACAAACGCTGTTTTATTTTTCGTTTTTGTTCTCGTAAGAATGCCTTATGTTCTTCTTACGTCCGACTTACGGCCATCTTACGAGTTTGTGTTCTCGCAAGATGGTTGTACCTGTACTAAACTGACGGCATTCTCACGTCTTTCGAAGAAGATCTTACAATATTTTAGGTAAATTTTGTCAGGTTGCACTACTGCACTATTGCATTATGATTTGATTATACATGATCATTTTGGTCTCTAAATTGGCAACGCAGTCGGTAATTTGTAATCACTATATTCATGTACAAATTGGCGATTGTTTGTTGAATTTAGTAATTTACATTCATATTAGTTGATTTCATGTCCAGTTTTTAATGTTAGAGCACCTTGCATGGTAGATATGTGCGCCATGAATACATCCAATATTAATTCTGTTAGTGCAACTAATCAGCAATAAACTTTAATATCATCCAATCATTTTTTTTCTCTTCTTCAATGTATCAGGTTCTGGTCTTTGCTAGACTCCTATCTTTACACCCATGGTGTCTCATCTCTACCCTTCGTCACAAACTTCTGCAGGGGATATGGAGAATTCGGTTTCAAATGTGGAAATGTAAGTTGGTTTCAGATTTAACATAACGGTATATACTTATGAGCAAAATTAGGAGACAATTGTCTTTGAGAATCTCTTAGATGTAAGTGCTAATGGCCTTTTGTATTGAATTTGATTTGTTTTTACTTGTTTGAATTGTCCTGAAAGTCAGCCGGTGTTTTAGAGGAGGTCTCCTAAATGCATCCAATCATGTGCCTGCTGTCTTATCATCTGAAGTATTTAAAAAAAATTAAGTATATAAAAATCTACAAAATTATAAGATATTGCATCACAGCCTCATCACAGATTTGCCAATTTTGTCCCCATGAGACAAATATTTTCATTTCATTAACTTAACCCCTTAACTTTAATATCAGTCTGGTTTCATTAATCCATTTCTGTTCTGTTTGGCAGATTTCTCTGCTTCTATTAAGAGCAACATAATCTAAAATGTAGGCCACTGTTACTCACACCAATGCTTTGAGCCCATGTGTTTCCATTTCGATGTGAAACCCAGAGAAACGAGCTGACATCGATATAGCTCTGCTGCATTACCCATGTGTTTTAGGGGGAAATGGACTTTCCCCCTAACATTTCAAATTTCCTGCTGCATTTCCACTTCCACATCAAACCAGCATAAAGACGGTATCAAAATGACATTGAAATTAAAATCCATACTTCAAACTAATAATGCATTGTAGGGTAGAAGTGCATGGGAAATGCATGCCTTTAAAAATCGAGAAACAGACCCAAATCTAAACAAAAAAGTTTTGGTGTGACCTAGGCATAACATTGATGTTCTCTTATAGAACCCACGATGTAGCTCCAACACTGTACTTTTTATCACAGAATGCATGTGAATTATGACATTAAAGTGCATCTGTATTTCACCTCTATTTCCCTTTGTCAGGAGGTGATGAAGAAAGCATGGTGTAATCTGAGTAGTCAGCAGATAGTGCCTACCTATGGCAAGGAGCAGTTCTCTGACGTAGAGGGCGCTTCAAAGAAGACGGTCATGCAGTACGTGGTGTCCGATGCCTTCAACGGAGGCGGTTGCGTGGAGATCCACGGCGGACTGGCAGCTAGCCAGGTCACCAGATGCAAGTAAGTCAACAGCAGGCACGATCAAATCTAACATACTTTATGGAGATGATATTTTTTTTACAAACTGATACCAAATGTGATTTTTTATGAAATAATAAATTGAAATTGAACTGAAACAATGCAAGATAAAATTGTCGGTAAGATGTGTGGAAATTTTGACTTGATTTGATTTTTTTTTTTTTTTTACTCTTTCGCCGCACCCCAACTTTTTGATATTTTCTTCTTTAATACAACAATGAGATTACAGATTTAGTAGCATTGATAAATATATTATTCTTCGATACTGTTCTACTTGTAAGTAGTGGAAAATGTGCATTATTTAATCACAGTGCAGTACATTTCATTTAAAGGGGGTGTAGCATGGCAAATACTGGTTAACGCCATCTACGACTTCTTTTGGACAACTGCACGTAAACAAATGGTCTTGATTTACGGTCAGCGCGCGCGAGCGTTTGCGAAACAGACAAAAGTTTCCCCTTCGGTTTTGCGTATGTTGCATGCACGTGAATACTGCGGTTGTGTCGTCCATAGTTGTACTATACCAGATTAGCCCCGAGTCAGGCCGAGGGAAAGACACGTAGTCTTGTCATGCTACACCCCCCTTTAAAAGAATCAAGTCCAACTTGTAGTGTCCCATTTCTTGATTTTACCCCTCTTCCACAGGTTGTTTGCTACCGGTATCTCTGGGTCACACCCTCTTCTGGTCTCCTACACTGCCAAGCATGGAGATAACTGCAAGATGTGTCTCTACCTATCCACACCAAACAAGGAGATTCTGTTGTGGAATACTGCAGGTAGATAGGAGAACATGTCCTTGACATCGGTTCTAGGACACCTACCCCCCGGACAACTATCCTAGGGGGTAGTTGTTCGGGGGTAGTTGTCCTTGGCGGTAGTTGTCTGGGGGGTAGTTGTCCGGGAGGCAGTTGTCCTGGGGGATAGTTGCTTAGAGGGTGGTTGCCCTAGGGGGTAGTTGTCTTAGGAGGTAGTTGTCCTAGGGGGTAGTTGACTGGGGGTGGTTATCCGGGGGAGTGGATGTCCGGGGGTAGGTGTCCGGATACGCTTAAAATCAGTTTACCCCTTTCAGGCTATTATTGCTCTGGGCCCTGTCTTCTAAACAGTTGGGATTCATCGCAACTTATTTGAGATTGATATCAATCACAACTATGTGCATAAGAGATAGGAGACTGCAAAATTGCGATTAATTCGGATCAGTCGCAAGTGTGTTTAAGATGGGGCTCTGATCTGCTGGGATGGTTCTAATTACAATGAATTGATAAAAGGAGTAACAAATATATATGCGATACAAAGGAAAGTTAAAAGCCGTCTATACTAGTTTGGCTAGGAGGGATTAGACCACCCAGGGTGGTCACTGACAGCTGGCTATCTCATCAACTCAGCTCTTAATTAACATAAGAAAAGAGGATCATGGGAGACGAATGGTCACTGATTAGTCATTGTTTCCTATATAGAGGGAGCAAGTAGTTACAAGTAGTACAGTGGGGCTTTAAGAGATAGTGATAGGAAAGACAAATTTAAGAAAGAAATTTTGTCCAAGGGTAGAAGTTCAATGAAGGCAGTTTTAATACCACCAACAAAAAACATGCCAACAATGACAAAAGAAGCCTGAACAATCACTTGTACTATGGTGTCATTAGAAATAGTAAGGCTTTCAAAGGAAATACTGCAGTATGATGCTATAAGTAATCTACTGAGGGGCTTTTGGCTTATCCGTTTACAAACTGACACCACCTTTCAAATTTGTACCTCAGCTTATTTTAATATTTAACAACACAACTTCTTTCGAAGCCTCCTTTTATCTGGTCACTCTTCTTACATCATTCAGATTATGTAGAAGGAAAGGTAGAATCAGAGCTTCTTTCTCGGCTCAGAAAACTTGACAGAGCAATAAAATCATTGCAATTTGCCTTTGCTGAGACAATTTTTTTTCTTTTTCAATTCAATAAACCATTTGTCTATCTATCTATTTATCTATCTATCGAATGTGTAGTCCTGTAGAAAGAATACCCCTATGATTTCTGTCCTGAACCTAAACTTACCTCATTATGTGCATCCTGGAATATATGCCTTATTATGTTGAAATTTTATCAAAAAACAGAGAAAGAAGATAGTTCAAGCATTTCAAGAAGTACAATTAGAGCTGAACGTACGCATACTTGTAGCGGTAGGATAATGAAACAGCCTACTTTGTTTGCTATTTAGCTTGTAAAGAGACTGCATTATACTGACACATTTATTATTGTCACTATCTACATTGTACATGTATATATACTTTGTGTTTACTAGTTGGTTCATTGTTCATGTTTGTACTTTCATACACTATATAGTATATACCTATTATCATTTGTATCTTTGTGTCATTATCTATGTACAATGTATGTGAATTGTATTCATAAGTCATGCATTGCTATTAATACTTTTGTGTTTGTTTGTACTCTCAAACCCCAAAAGGGGGTCAAAGAGTCAATGAAATTCTAAATTCTGAATTCTATCTAAATTATAATGAATAAGATATTCACTCTCTCATCAAGATGACATGAAGGCAGGCGAGCAACCCATGAGTACCTATGGCCTGAGACTCTCTGCCCTGGTCGACCATTCCACCGTCCCCGACTCCCTCAAGTCCTCCGATCCCACCATCTTCTCTCCTCTGGTTGGCACGTGTCATAAGATCCTCCAGGATGCATCCTTTGGTATTGACAGCTCGGTGGTACCTACCCAAGGCTGGGTGACAAGGTGAGGTTTCCCAAGGGATCATCCAGTCCCTTGGTACAATATGTTTCTGTAAAAATTATCTAGGGTTCTATGGAGCAGTACCGTATGCTTCATAAGATCCTCTAGGATGCACTGTTTAGTATTGACAGCTCGGTGGTGCCTATCTGAGGCTGGGTTACAAGGTGAGGTTCCAAAGGGATCATCAGTGGCAAATGGAGCAACATGAAATATTGCATCAAACTCAGTGATATTTGTGTTCTTTTCTCTTCCGACAAATTGATGCTCTGCAAAATCTACTGCAATGACTTTATTGAGTTTATTCAAAGTTTATATAATTCTTGTCTAAAATAATAAACCATGCTGAATAGGGATCCGATATCTTTGTCTTGATTTAGCTCATGCTGCAATGATAATTATAAAACTTAGGTCAGTCAGGATCCCCATGACTTTTACAAGCTGATCGCCTGTCTGATTATCAAGATATTTATGATTGAAAATCGAAATCAAATTTTGCGTTTGCCAAACGGTTTTCATAATACTACAGTCTATTGGAGAAAACGAGTATGGTAAAACTGGTCACTCAAAGGTTTTTACTTTTTCAGGCACTTCTTGATAATTTTGAAGCACAGTTTTTTTAGGGCTTCAATATAACATCATATCACAGACACTGATAACACGTAGGGCCGTGCATCTCAGATTTAACATTGTTAAACAATTCCCTCTAATATCAAGTTCTGATTATGGAGCCTACTTTTTTTGTTTGGCATAATCACATGACAACTTTCTTATTAAAGTCTTACAGGCCTTTCTCGATATTGACTTTCAATTATTTTTTGTACGATACAGGAACTACCTAGTACCAGAGTCTGTCCTTACTGCTGGTGCTAAGATCACAGAGATTGGTTTGCTTTGCTTCTCAGCAGCTCCTGTCGAGTCTTACTCAGTCAAGATCGGAGAAATCAAGGTGAGTAACAACAACAGACGTTTCATTTTGATGTTTATTGATGGGAAATATTTCTATCACCTCATACTTTAGGAAGAATGTTCAAGACTTCAGTTCATTGTAAATGAGTTTCAATAATTTTTCGAAAGCAGTATTCCATCATGTTATTTACACTCTGGAAGCATGATTTTGTTATACCATCTATATCATTAAAGAAACATAATAATAATAATAACAACGATATAGAGTATTTGTAATGTGCCAACTCCACATGACTAATGTGTTCGAGGCCAGGCCTGATAAAAACCCGATTTTTCTTTTAATTTTCCTGATTTTTCCCGATTTTTTTTCTTCCCGATTTAAAAAAAAAAAAAAAAAAATCAGATTTTTTTAATTTTTTTTTTTTTTTAATTTTTTTTTTTTACCAGATTTTTTTTTTCTTCCCTATTTTATCGTGATTTTCCCAATTTCCCCCTTATTTTCTCTATTCTTCCTTATTTGGCCCTCAATTTTCTTAAAAAAAAGGGGGGAATGTTGTTAAATGCCATTTTTTCCCCGCGAATCCTCTTCTTTTTTTTTTACTCAAGGGGGGCGTGATGGAGGGGAAAACAAAAAACCTATTTTTTTTTTTAGTGCTCACTATCACCCCTGGAGGCGCAATGGAGAAGAACAATTATAAGTACACAAGTCATATCTTGTTTGAAAATGTACAATGCACAAGGGCAGATAATATTTTTTTTTTTTTTTATGAACAGTTGGGTCAAACATCTGTTACTTGTTCTGCTTGCTTAATTGAGAGAGGACATGCGAGACCTAACTATCCTTTATTTTGAAGAAAAAAACTCTAAATATTTATAATTTTTTCAAACGCCAGGTCGTTGACCCCGGATCGCTTCGGGACCAAACACAGCAGGTGACCGACCTATCCTGTCAGGACGTCACCTGGCATCCACCCATCGCGAATGTCGTGGACCCGCACACCGTCGTTTCCCTCTGCGCCACGCTGACCTGGTCCTACCCCGCTGGCCTTGGGGACCACTTTGACATCTACTGCTCCGGCATCGAGCGCGACCCCAACCAGAGCCGTGCCGTCAGTAAGAGCGATAAGCTGTTCGTCGGGAGAGCTCACTCGCACAGCTTCCGCGTGTGTCATCTGCTCATCCCGAAGATAGAGAACGAAGGCCAGGAGGACTGCATTGAGTTCTGTGTGCAGCCGACAACGAGGGCGGGCTTCTCAGCACCTCTACTTGATGTCTCCAGCTGCAAAGTGGTCTACTCCAAGTAGTCTGGGTGAGGTTGAGATTTTCTTTAGAATGTACAGTCAAACTTGTCTATAGCGACCGCCCAAGGGAAACACAAAAAGTGATCTTTGAAGACAGGTTCCTTTAGTACATGCTTCAATGAGAAACCATTTTCAAGGGAAACAAAAAATGTGGTCTTTGTAGACAGGTGGTCTTTATAGACAGGTGGTCACTAAAGCAGGTTTGACTGTATTTTGAGAGTTTCAGTCACTGCTGAATCTTTTTTGTGATGATCATGGTTGTGTAAACAATACTTTTGGCGAACATTTCTTTTATTTGCAATAAGATACTCAGTCCCCACCCACCCTTTTCCGTGTATGTTATTATTCGCTGCAGGGATGACCATGTGATTAATGCAATCTGTGATCAAATTAACAGTTATTACTGATTCATTCTCAATGAGAATATGGGTATGTCTCTTTTCAAGTCAATCATGAAAGTGAGCATCGGATCAGAATCAGTATATTGTCTCTCATTTAGTTAGTGTAGGTCATTAACCACGGAGCAATTGGTGTTGGAGCATGATGTACAACGATCACTTGACATATGCTTTAAAGTTTTATGTATCTTTTCTTAAACAGCAGGTTTATTTGCAACTATGTGTAGGTTTTAGCAATGTGCTATGTTTTTATATGATTTCTTTTATTTGATTGATCTATGCATTGAATGAATACATTCCATACTATATTAAAGTTGTCTGGATTATTTTTTTATTGTGTTGAAAGTACAAAAGATTCCAGTACTTTTGTGAACCCCAATACTTATTTTGTATACCAATTTCACCAATCGAATTTGCAAACTTTCTTAATTTCATCCAAACTTTTGAGTTATTGAAAAAAGTAAATGAGAAAGAAAATGATAGATTTATCTCATCCGTAGTGTATTATATCTATTCCTATTTTTTGTCAATATTACAAAATATCTTGTATCTCTGTATTTGTGATGGTAGCATAGCTAAAATTAAATCCAATCCAGCATTTTCAAAATGTGCAATGAACATATAATGTTGAAAAGGGATTTAGAAGATAACTTGAATGAGGTATTTTTGACTTACTGTTACTTTTGTTTACCACTGTTGACTAGTTGAAAGATGTACACATGTAAGCAAGAATGTGTCACTCTTTTGGCCATTAATTATTTGCAGAGTTTTAATCTTCTTCATGTAAATGATGAATGTGATAATTTACAAATTCCAGCAGTTGGCCCCAGCAGTTTTGTTCTCTCAATTGATATGCAATGACCATAGCATGCAGGGATGCCAGTTTTCAGGCAAAAGCCTGAATTCAGGCCCTGGCGATATATTTTCAGACCATAGTTTAGGCTTTTTGTGTACAAAATACCTCATTCTAGGTGATTTTCAGACCCATCGATCAATTCTAACTGGCATCCCTGAGTATGACAAGGATACTTAAAAAAGATGTAAATCAAAGCTCTTTATGTACAATTGCATGACCTGGCTGAATGCTGATGTGTGAATTTGACTTGTTCAAAAAACCAGAAGCCTATATTTTTCAGATAAGTTTTTTGTGAAACTATGTGTGCCTTGTGTCCTAAACATGTGTGATAAATGTATCTGTGTAGAGATAGTATTTGAGCAATTATTTGCAGGGCTGTCAATAGTAAGATATCTGCCACATGTATGAAGTACATGATTATAGTGATGATGTAATGAGTCCATAAGCCATAAATCTATATTTTCTTGACTGTTTCCTGCCATTAATACTATATATTCTGTAATCAGTATCATCATGTGTGCGTGGGGCAGGTGTCATATGTGAGGGTAAAGTAAAAAAGGAAATGATGTTTCTTGAAAAAATATATACCGGTATATTACTACCGGTATGCCAATTCTGTGCATTTGCAGCTCATTTGGGTATTTGCTACATATAGCTTGCATGTCTTTGTAGAACCCATGCATTCTCATGCATACTTGGGGTCTTGTACCTAGAAATTTTTCCATGCTTCCTTTAAGCAGCCCAGAGTGGCAACAACATGATACTTTTATTTTATTTCATTTTTTATTAATCAGCTATTTTTCTATAATTTGATAAGGCTCCAAGCTAATTGTATATTTTTCAGTGTTTCCTTGTTTGTTTGTTGTTTGTTTTTTGCCCTTTAAAAGCAATGACATTTCATTTTTTTTGTGGCTATGCTGTAGTGCATTAGTAGTTTACGTAGATAAATATATTTGGTGTGAATAAATAGAGCATATACGTACTTATGAAATTTAGATATTTTACACGCATTTCTAATGTTACTTGTAGTTACGGAGCATCATGTAGTAAAAATTATAATCACAGTTTATTGATAGAATTCCTGAGAGGAAATAAACATGTAAAATGTGAGTCCTGCTCGATAATCATGGGTCATGGAATTGTTTTTTGCCAGCAGGATATATATAGTATGCGCTTCGTAGTTTGCCATAGTCTTTCATTGAGGATAAACCATGTTATTATTTGGAGGGGATGGGGAGTTGTTGGGTTAAATATGGCAGTAAACAAAAGGCCTGCAAAATAATGTTAAGATAGTACTCGTGGGAGATATACTAGTTCAGCTTACAATTATTTGGTGAATGAAGGCATGTTTTTTTGTTGGGGGGGGGGCGTTAAAGTAGATGTAACAAATTTAATTTGCATTATTTCATTACCGTGGTGGTATTTTAAAATAGATCATGATTTAATGTAGAAGAAAAAATATATAACTTTCTGAATGGGAAAAAATCATAGCTAACATTAGCTAACAGCTGGAATATAATTATGATGATGCAGGTGAAAAATAACCAATTTGCTGGAAACAAATAAACAAACTATGTATCCTTCTAGCTGGGATAATCGCTAGTCTATTCATACACTGCTTTGTTAACTTTGTTGAGCTTTGTTAATTAGACATGATCTGATAAATTGCCTTTAAACAAAACAGAAGTTTTTCTTTATTAGTTTTTTTTATGAAATGGTGAAAAAATAGCTGCCTGCATCAAGTGCTCGCATGCGCACTCACCCAAATGTGTGTTATGAGCCACAGAAATGTGAAGTCCATTACATTTTCAAGGCTGTCTACAAAAGGATAAATAAACAAGGCTCTATATACATGTGTAAGTGTTAAATGTTAAAGCATTTTGTCCGTTATAGTGCCATTGACAATACAAAGCTCTTACAGCCATTTTGCGGACAGCCAACAAGTTGAGGCTTTGGGCTTTATTGTATTTCTAATAAATTCAAAATTGCTGCCGTTTGATTTGTTTAAATCTAGTTTTATTTTATTAAATTGAGGCTCATGTTATGAAAAGAAAAAAGTGTCTTTCAAAATGCTGAAATCGTTGTGTAGTAAATGAGTCGTGCAGTGAACTTAGTGAATACCAGATAGAATTGAGGGCAGATATTTTTATCAAAAGAAAATGTTGATCAAATTGAGTGCTTTAAAAATTAAGGTAGTTCATAGGATAAATGTATTGGATTTAAAGGGGAATTCCACCCTGATATTAAGATAGTTTGAATAGAAGTATAGCAAAAAGATAAACGGGTCAGCAAAACGTGACTGTGTGACCAAAATGTTAGAAAAGAGCTGTTAAAGATCTATATGTGGTTTAATTTTCAAATTTCCAGCTGAATTTTGTTTAATTTTTTAATTTTTGATTTTTTTTCTTCTTCTTTTTTCTTCTTCTTTTTTACTTGTGTGAGACAGTAGAGATTTACTAAGTGTGATTTCCATAGATACTAAATACATTTATTTATTTTTGTTCCTAATAAAGTCCATATTTCAATAATGACTATTCTTCCATTTATTTATTTTCGTCATCCAATTTCACTGAAATTGTGAAATTCTAATTTTTCTTTCTTTGTGCATGATAGTTTTATGTAAAGTATTTTGTACTACCAGTACGTTATTTCTAGTTTCAACATAACACATTAAATCAGTATCATAACATCATCTGTATTTCAAGACAGAATTTTCAGGAGATAAAGATATGGACTGACATATTAACACCATTTGGGTAATTATTTTGTAATTGCTCCCATTTTCAGGTGAAATATCCATGCATCATCATGGAGAAGGAAGAAGAAAACAAAATATTACAAATATATATGGAAACTTTAAAGGAGCGATATCTCAAGAGATAAACAATTTCTGTAACTTCAATTGATTGAATTCATGTGTACAATTTGCATATGAAAGAAAAATGCCAGCGTCCCATTTCTTTTTATTTGGAAATGTTTCTTTTCATCTGAAAAATGCTTCTTATCAGTGATGTAATATCAGTAATATGTAATATAAGGTATGTAATATCATGTTGGTTTTTTAAAGACATTTTTCTTTTCTCATTTGATGAATATACAGCTGTAGTATAAAAATGGTTTTCCATTATGTAAAGAGGCGTTACAATAGGGAAGGTATACTGAGAATGGTGTTATCTTTTACGTTACCGAAACAATATTAAATGTTGTAACAAATCAATATTAGGGCAAGTCATTGGTTGATGTCTGTGCAAAGCTGGCTGCATTCACACGCGAAGTTAAAAAAGACATCTCAGCAAGCACCAATGGTAAATGTTAGTTCTGCACAAGTTATGAGCTTGTTATGAGAAGTAGCATTGCTAACCATACCATTAAAGATAACATCTTTGTCAGAATACAGACCTAGAGCTTAGTAATAAGATGCAAACAGGGTATTTGTTTCCTCTTATGTCCTTGTGAAAACTTCATTTCCATTACAACCACTATATTGAACCCACTGCGTACTGAAAGCAGTCGGACTCTGTGTTGAGCCTATGGGAATAAGAGAACTTGGTAGTGATTGGGTTAAAGATGTCTTTTCTTTCTACACATTGGCAAGTGTATGTCTCATTTATTATTTCTGTTATAATTATGCTGTGATGCAAGTAATGTGATTGACATCGTCATGAGCAATGAAATAAAGCTATCTCTGTATATGAATTGTCTCCAATTGATTTTTTGTTGTTGGTTAGTGTGTTTTATGAGTTGAATGTAGAGAATGTGCCTGGACGGCGGGGTATCAAAGTTTGGGCTGAAGGTTATTTTTTTGTTCTTCTATTTCTCTTTCTCCACCTCCCTCTTTTGTCCTCTTTTTGTACACTGCCCCTTCTCTTCTCCTTTTAATTCTTCTTCTTCTTCTTCTTCTTCTCTTTTTGCTTCTTCTTCTATTTTTTTTCTTCTTTTTCTTCTTCTTCTTTTTCTTCGTCTTCTACTTCTTCTTCTTCTCCTTCTTCTTCTCCCCTTCTTCTCCTCCTTCTTCTTCACCTTCTTCTTTTTTTTCTTCTTCTTCTTCTTCTTCTTCTTCTTCTTCTTCTTCTTCTTCTTCTTCTTCTTCTTCTTCTACTTCTTCTTCTTCTCCTCTTTTTTTCTTCTTCTTCTTCTTCTTCTTCTTCTTCTTCTTCTTCTTCTATTTCTCCTCCTCCTCTTCCTCCTTCTCCCCTCTCTGTTTTCTTATTTTTCTCTCCTTCTTCACTCCTCCATGTATTTGTTTATTTACTTGGATCAGGATTGTTCGCAGTAGGAGCACAAGGAGTACTACTATTTATGTGGGGCAGGGGTGGGCACCCGATTAATTTTTGAAGCCTGACTATAGCGGGTAAAAAATTATGATAATTTTGTTGTTGTTGAATTCTTCAACTTTAGTGTATTAATTGTAGAGTTAACAATATTTTGCTAAACATTAATCTATCATATGTCATTCTGAGGCTACATTCCTAACATTTCCAAGGGGGCATATGGGGGCACCGAACCGAAAATCGGTATAGCTGGAAAATTTCATTTAAAATTAAGTGTTCAATTTGTGCTTTTGCCTCCCCTCGGTCGCAATTTGTCTGGTGAATCTGTATGTACATAGACAAGGCCTTCTCTTTGTCGATATCATATAATGCCCGTTCATTTATCTTTTTGAAGGGGATGGGGGGGGGGGCGGGGGGGGGGGCTTACCCCGCGACTTTGAGAGTTTATCCGTGTTTCGGTCATCAATCCTCGTCGTACCGTTTTCAGTTAAGGTCTAGCGCCATCTCGTGTTGATGAATTTACATTTGTTGCACAATATTCCATTCGCTTTTAATGTTATGAATGAAACTGAACGCGATATGTCACAACACGCGCTGTATATATTGCAAAGGCAAGCTGTGTAATGAATTTATCGCATTGCCAGTCATTAGATTTCCAGTAACCTCAGCTCAGATCAGTCGACATTGCCGAACAGCTCTTTCCACTTTTCCAGTAACCTCAGCTCAGCTGAGTCGACACTGTATTGCCATACAGCAGAGAAGGCTCCTGTGAATGAAATACGGTACTTTCTACCTAGACAAGGTCAATTCCTGGAGTGAACTGGTGAAGAGAGCCGCATATACAGATGCACCAGCCTTGAGCCTTCCAAGCGGGTAACTTTTTGAAAACGGGATAGATTCTAGGCCAGGTGGTTCTGATGTTTCTTCTGCAGTTCTGAGTCTAACTTCTAACTTCTATATTACTAAGTAAAGTGTGCCACAAATCCCATCGAAATTTGAGCAAGAACAATGTCATTTTTACAAGAAAAGGCAGCCATGTCATCATGTCATCATGTAAATTGGACAAATTTAAGACAAGGGCAAGGTTCCCATGCCTGCGCACTCATTAGTTTACGATGGGGTGACCAAAATTCACAGAGATTTTTGAAAATATTAGTAAATATGATAGTCTACAGGTATTCGATCCGTGATTTCTCATAATCTACACAAATTTATTACCAAATCATGATGGACGGCAAAGTTTTTAAGTACCAAAAAAATTATTGTCAAATTAAGCCAAAGGATTCCGGGGATATCGCTATCTAAAATTGGATGTCGGATCAGCACAAGCGCTCGCGCTGCACATAGAACTTTACTAGCTTACATTTAGCGCATGCGCATAATGTTCATCCGATCACAGCGAATAGCATAAATTGGCACCGACAAGGGCCCTTCTTATTGGCTACGCTGGCTGCCATTCACTCAATGTTATAAGATATTGGTGCGAGGAGAAAGCTTGGGATTTTCCGTTTGATGCAATAGATTTTTTTCAGCATCCTTAAAATGTTAAGTGTTTCACTTAAGTTAAAGTCATTCCTAACTATTTTTAAAGTTTGAAAATTTCTCATTTCGTCATATTAGGGTACAAACTGGAAAGTTATTCTGAAATGTTCGTTGATTTTTCTATTTTATGTGTGTGCAATGCTGCAATGCCATGTGTGCGTCAGTTATGTGTGTACCGGTAGATCATTCCCAAAACTGTTATAAAAACAAAAGTAGACGGTGAAACTGTAAAAGTAAATAGTAGATGGTCAAAAGGGTTCATTTTTCATGAGGATTCTGCTCATCAATTTGTATGCCAAATTTATTATGATTTTGATGACTCCAGAACCTTGCAGTGCACACCAATACTTTACATGCTACATGATCAACTTTTTTCTGATCCATTCCACACATTTCACAATGCAATCGCATGACAAAAACTCAACTGTATCTTTAATGACTGTGATGATGTATTAATCTACATGTATACGAAAAGAAATGAAAATGTTAACAATTAACCCATGGAGGGCTATTAGACGTGCATTTCCCTTGGACTCCAGCCTTAGTATACTCGGCTACCATCCTCAACGGGTTAACATGTTTCATTGTTGAAAATGTAGCACAAAAATGCTCAGAGTGTACAAGTAACAGCAGTGATACTCTTGTTGCAACTAAACAATGGACTTCTACTGCTTCATAGGCTCAATAACCTTTCTTGTTTTCTCTTTCAAATTTCAGAATAAATTAGACAAGGAATGGACAGAGAATGGACCACTCATATGAGAAAGGTATGTGTGATTTCAGATAAATCTTTTGTGTATATACATTTAAAGCAACATAAAGAACGTCGCTCATGCTTGTTGAATGGTATGGAAGCATGTTCGTGTCATAATGAAGACAGCTCCCTTCTGGACTGGTTATTGGTTCCCTTGAAAAAAATACCGTCACCAGTAGGATAAGTTTCAGAAGACATGAGATATATGAAAACATTGCATATAAACTTAAAGTGATATTGGAATATAATGTTGCTACAGTTATTAAAAGTCTTTGTGTGGTTCGTTGCTCATTTAGGTAAAGGATTAAGACGAAGCAGACGTGGACCAGATGACATGTCCGACAGTTACAGTGGTACAGAGAGAGTGACAGACTGGGACAGAGGGAGAAGCAAGCATGACCATTCCCACCGTGGGGATGAAGGATCCAGGAGAAGCCAGAGTTTCAGTGAGGACAGTCATCACCACTGCCATAGCGAGGGCAGTGGAGGACCCAAAGCTAGGAAACAGAAGGTAAAGATCTTACAGAGACCACGGCAAACGTCCGGTCAGAGACATAGATCGGATCGTGATTTGAACTCTGGATTCAGAGGTTCATCTCCCGATGTCATAGACCTCGATGATGTCGGATCAAGTAGCAGTCAAGAGGTCTCTGGGGCATCATCCAGTCAGTATATGACTGCAGGACAAGATCCAAGCCCTCCAAACACCATGGATGGTGAGAGACAGTCCAACATGTACGAGACGGAGAAGTGTCCAAAGAGCGTTGGTGAGTTGCTGAAGCCAGAAGTCAGCAGCGATGCAAGTTGTGCTCAGAATCCGCTTCTTGGAGGACTTCCTCACTTTGCCAATCTAGCGGGACTGCAAGCAACAGCAGCCATCGATGCGAGTATCTCTTCCAGTATTCAGCTTCTTCAGTATTACCAACAGCAGCAGATGCTGGCGGCACATTTTGGATTGACAGGTTTTGGACAGACTGGCTTGTATCCTAGCCTACCCCTAGCTCCACCTTTACCTATGGCAATGCCCTGTGCAAACTCCGTTCACACACCCTTTCTCCCATGCTCATGCGTGACTTGCCAATCGGCCATGCTTACTCAGGATTTGAGCCGGCTGTTGCCTCAGTACGGTCAAACCGGACAGTATGCACCACCGATGCCCACCTTGCCAGTGCCTCAGCAACAAGGGTTGGTTCCCCCTCAAAGCCAGGACGTTCAGGCCCTCCTCAGACTCCTGCACCAGAATGATGGACATGACGTCCAAGCAGTGATGCCGCAGAGCTGCCAGGAGTGTGCATGTGAGACAGAGTGCAATGCTGCCCCGTTCCATGTCCCTCATGCCAACAAAGAACCTCCACCACCAGTTGTGTCATCCAACCTTCCAATGGCTCAGCGCCCACCGTCCAACCACTCGCACCAGGGTATACCATTTAGTCCCTACAGACAGAGCGGAGATTTACCATCTGGTTCAGGAGCTGGCAACAACATGACACCCCTGAGACAAGCCATGACTAGCACCCTATGCAGTAGCCCTCTGCAGTCCCTTATAACTCAGCTCAATGAAAGCGGACTGTCAGCAGTCAGTGCCATCCAGTTCCAGAGCCCTGACAAGCACAATACTTCCAAAGGTATACAGCTCAAACTGTTTCCTCAGATAAAAAAAGAAAGATATATGTTGTGCATTCAGATTTTGAAAGTGAGTTAATGTATTGAGATGGTAATTGTGTTTGTTGAAGTAAACTTTGTTCGCACAAAAGTAATATCCATAAAAACCTAGTTATTTTCATGGTAATGAAGGTGAAAAGGCACATTTGTTTTACTTGTTTTAAATATATCATAAGTATAGTTTACTAATCTTTGATTAACACTCACTGTCAATACTTGACAGTGTCCTAGCAGCATTTCATGCAACATTAATCATGAAAGACTATTGGTGTAATTGAAGCTTGTTTGAGTTGTATGAATTCCAGAGAGACCCAATGACTCTTGACTTCTTTTCTATGGCTATAGCTGAGGAGAACCCACCCATTGGAGTCTTCTGGGACATAGAGAACTGCGCTGTCCCAAGAGGAAAGTCTGCTCTGGCCGTTGTTCAGCGCATCAGAGACCAGCTCTTCATTGGACATCGGGAAGCAGAGTTCATGTGTGTCTGTGATATCAACAAGGAGAGCAGCACTATCATACAGGAGCTTAATGACTCACAGGTAAATCCTTAATGATAATGATAAGCATTCAATTATTCAAACATGTATATATATTTATCTATATACATGCATTTAAAGGCTGAATTAAAATGATTTAATGACCATTTAAGTGCTCTGTAAAGAGAATACTTGTACTGTTTAGAATGTTATTTGAAAGAAATAATTAAGTAATTCAAGCCTTGTGCGCTATGTGGGTGTCCCACAAGGATCTTTCAATGGACCTCTTCTGTTTCTTACAAAAAAAATTGAAATAACGTGTGATATATCTGTTTTTGTACCAGTTGTTTGAAACATGAATTTATATCTTTAAAGATATAGGTGAGTTCTGGTCATCCGATTGCATTGTGAAAGAAAAGGTGTGGAATGGCTCAGAAAAAGTTGATCATGTAGCATAGAAGTATTGGTGTGTACAGCAAAGTTCTGGAGTCGTCAAAATCATAATAAATTTGGCCCAGTCTTGGTAAAGTAACAAGCACTGTACACAGAAAGATGTATATGGGACTACACAAATGGTGTCGGGGGCTACCAACCTTTATTTCCTAATCTTTCTATGCTCATTACTCAGCCAGTATACATTTTCCACCAAAATTGTTTGGCAAATGACATTTATTTGTAATCTTGAACATTCAGTGCAAGTTTCGTTTGATTCTGTGAGAATTGATTTTCTTTTTTTTTACCAGAACTCACCTTTATTTTTAGGGATTGAATTCTTCATGTAACTTATTTACAGGTGACTGTAGCACACATCAATGCCACTGCCAAGAATGCAGCTGATGACAAACTCAGGCAGAGCCTTCGGAGGTTTGCTGACACCCACAGCTCACCAGCAACAGTTGTACTCATTTCAGGTAACCCCCTATTTTATTATTTTTTTTAATTTTATTTTTGCATAGGTCCTCTTTTATGATAAGAATCGCATGTAATAATAATAATGGTAGCTTCTTAAATAGCGCACATGTTCGTCAAGCAGGGTTTGATGCTGACGCAGTGAAACCTGGGACCCGTTTCACAAAACTTGTCATCAGTGACAAATGACAGTCTTTGTTATAAGCTACTGAAATCCTTGCTTCTGATTGGTTATCAGCAGATTTGTCACTGATTTTTGCTATTTGTCATTGAAAAAAGGCTTTGTGAAACGCCCCCAGGATGTAACTCACCTTTGACCTTTCTTCCATTACCCCTGATCCAGGTGATATCAACTTTGCTCAGGATCTGTCTGATCTAAGGCACAGGAATGGACTGAATGTGATCCTGGTCCATGGTCTAGCCGCCTCTGAGGTTCTCAAGACCTGTGCTAACAAGGCTTACAGATACGATGAACTCCTTGCTGACCTTCCCTTTAGGTCACCCTCAAAGGTAAGATGAGATCCAGTATTGATTAGATTTAGGTTTCTGATGAGGTCTCTAAGTCTCTCAAGAACTGGACCAACAATGCTTTTATGTATATATATATATATAAGAGCTCCTAGCTGATCTGCCTTTCAGATCGCTGGCCAAAGTGATAATTTTTTCGGGGGGGGGGGGGGGGGGGGGAGCACTTTGCTCTTGTGAACAACAGCCATTTCATAGCTAATTGTCTTCAGCCCATCAATCCAGCCATCACATTTCTTGTATTGATTACTAAAAACTAAAAAATGTAAATGATTTTCATTTCTTCTCTGTCCCTTGTTCCTCTCTATCTCCCGTTCTCTTATTTACAGAGCATTATTGAGAGCTCTGAGCTGGTGATTCACAACCTTCCACTAAGGAAGGACCCGGGAATCATCAGGACCCGTCTCAAGCAACTCTCCGACAACTGTGGTGGCAAAGTGGGCAACATTGTCAACACTACAGCGTTTATCAAGTTTCCTAGCCATGAGATCGCCTGCAGGTTTGTTACATATTCATAACCTTTAAAGAGAAAGTTGAGTTCTGGTCACGCGATAGCATTGTGAAATAAACGGTGTGAAATCAATCAGAAAAGCTTAATTATCTAGCATATAAGTATTGGTGTATACTGCAAGGTTCTGGAATCATCAAAGTGATTTAAAATTTTAGCCCAGTCTTGGTAAATTTACAAGCACTGTACACAGAAAGATGTATATGGGACTACACAAACATATGGTGTAAAAATCTGTCCCGATTTTTATGCTATTACATGCCATATTTAGAATATTAAGGCATTTGAAGAGCAGTGCTTTTCAGGGAACATTTTTAATCTGATGTTCTTCCACACTTGCATAATAACAATGATAACGCTCACAAATCATTTTTCACCTCTTCCCAGAACTCAACTTTATATTTAAATACATAGGATTAACAAAAATCTCATAGGAGATGAGGATGGGTAGATGGAGATGGTATGGTTATGTCGTTTGAGAAAAAATAGCCATTGGGTCCAGAAAGCAATGAATTTCCAGGTTGCTGGCTTAATGTTTTGTGGAAGACCTCGCAAAACCTGGAAGGAAACGCTAATGTAAGATATGAGAGCATTTAGCCTCACTTGGATGGATGCTGAAGACCAGGGGCCCATTTCATATAACTTGTCATCAGTGACAAATGACAGTTTTTTGTTATAAGCTACTGAAATCCTTGCTTCTGATTGGTTATCAGCAGATTTGTCACTGATTTTTGTCATTTAAAAAAGGCTTTCTGAAATGGGTCCCAGAAGGCTTAAATCTTGTACGCTCTGTGTGTGTGCAAAAGTCGTGGAGGGGTTAGGAGTACTATCACAGGGTTTGATAGAACGCCAAAACCCTCTGCAGAATGATAGATCATATTTCATATTCAAATTTATTGTCCAATGATTGGAAATTTGTTTCATTTGCATGTCAATACAAGGTTACACGTTATAAACATCAATAAGATACATATGGGTACAGAGTAGAACATTTAACTTGGACATAGGTAACAACAAATGCGATAGTTCAACATGCGGACTAAAATTCGGTTCATAAATTAAGTAGTTAAATTCAGTTCAAGTTCGGATTAAATTCATTCGCAATTCGGATTAAATACAATTAAAAATTTAAACCAATTTAATTCGTAATTCAGATCAAATCCATTTCAAATCCCGATCACATTCAGTTCGTAATTCAAATTAGAATATAATTAACAAAATCAAATTACATTCAATTTATAATTCAAACTAAGTAATAAAATTAAATTCATAATTCGGGTTAAATTAAGTTCACAATTCAAATTCAATACAATTCATGATTCAGACAAATTCAATTCATATTTCAGAAAATAATTCAATTCAAATCCCGATCGCGTACAATTCATAATTCAGATTAAATTAAATTGACAATTCAGGTTAAAAAAAATCATAATTCAGATTACTACAATCTATAATTCACATCAATTCAATTCGTAGTTCAGATTAATATAAAATTAACAATTCAAATCAAATTCAATATAATTCAAACTAAGTAATTAAATTAAATTCATATTTCGGGTTAAATTAAATTCACAATTCAAATGCAATACAATCTATTCTTCAGACCAATTCAGTTCATATTTCATAATATAATTCAACTCAAGTTCCGATCACCTACAATTCATAATTCAAATTAAATTAATTTACAATTCAGATTAAATGCAAGTTATAATTAAAAATAGGTGATTACATTCAGTCATAATTCGGATTAAGTTAGGTTCACAGTTCAAATTAAATTCACAATTCAGATTAAATTCAGTTTATTATTCAGACTTAGATTAAACCCTCCTCGTTCATCAGCCTGATTGAGCTTGGCACAAATGAATTTAGAAACCTGCTCGTTCTGGACCTTAGAGATCTTAACCTGTTTCCTGACCTCAGGGCTACATAATTATTATTTAAGGGGTGACGGCTGTTATGGTAGATTGATTTCGCCTTGTCACGTACTCTATTTCTACATATATCTTCGAAGACTAGATTCTTCCCTACAATTTTTTCCGCTTGTTTAACAATTCTTTTTAGCATAGACAAGTCTACTTTCCGACATGCTGTGAACCACACAACGCAGTCGTTTACTATTATGCTCTCTATCACAGACTTGTAGAAAAGGTACATTATTGTGCGGTCTACGTGAAAGGAATTGAGTTTACGAAGGAAATATAACCATTGCTGCCCTTTCTTGTACAGCTCCCTACAGTTGTCATCCCATTTCAGCTTGTCATTAATTACAGTGCCAAGGTATTTGTATGATCGAGATGCTCCTTGTCGTATGATATAGTTTTGACTAGTCAGTGAATGACAATCTATGTATGAAGTATATAATACAGCTTGCACACCTTATACTTTCATGTCCTTCTCATTCATGTCTTTCATATAAATATTACACAGAGCTAAGAAAAGACTGGAGAAGGAGAGTGTGTATGGCAACGTCATCACCACGTCCTTCTGCCGCATCAATCGAAATGGCTATGGGAGTCCCAGGTATGGGAGGAACAACGTCAGATGGGACAGTGACAGGAGCTGGAGAGACGGACAGGAAGAGGTCTCTAGTCATGGTAAGTTCAAGTTCAAGTTTTTATTGTTTCACATTTTACAAAAAAATATAGACATACATATAAATTTAAAAATTATTCAATACATGTAGTATAAATGAGCATGTCCCAATGATTCTCAATTCATATAAAAGATTAAGTAGAATGTGAGGAACCTATTAAAAAGCAGTGCTTGTATATTATAGGTTCCTGGAAAAATAAGTATTGTAGAAGAAATAATTGTAGCAGTAGAGAAGGACGTAATTTAGAGGCGAGAATTAAAAACACAATGGAATTTAAGGAAATTTGTATACAAAATAATGCGTTAGCACCAATACCCAGAGTCACCCGGTTAAAATGCGTAGTCAAAATGCATAATCAAAATGCGTAGTCACCCGAGCAATTTAGTTAGCAAAGCACAAAGTAATTTGTTTATATACATTAAAAAAAAAAAGGAACATGCATCATTAATTAACAGTTAAGATTAGCATTGAAGAAAAAAGGACTGGGGAGGGCAAACAAATTATATTGTAAGAATTTAAAAGAAAAAGTTTGCGTTTAAAGCAATTTAACGATGGTGCTTCCTTAACTACAAATCCAAACCATTCCAAAAGTGATCACCACGCATGCATATTCATTTGAATCTTGGATATTCATGTACCAAAATCTGTCAGGGGTGGTGGTAATTAGTTAACCTTTCCAAAACCTAGACAGCCCATCATGGTTTAACTTGTTCAATACTATTCCAGACATTTCCCTGTTTGTGTTCATGGGAAATGCATGTTATTCCAAATTTCAATCGTATCTAATTGGTGAGAGAAAATTTACTCAAAACACTTTGCCTTTTTAGGTAAAAAAAGCAATATGTACTTTTTATTTTTAATGTTAAATATGAGAGAGAAGTTATCATAATAAAATTGAAAATAGTAACAAAATTCTTGCATTGACATGTGTAGTAATGAACAGGATAAAGGATAAAGAGAGTTGCAGTAATGAATGCCTGTCATGTGTTATATCTGCAACTGATTAGAAGTAGGTGGGTATGTAGGAGAAAGAAAGGCCTAGAATATATTGAGAGATCGCATGTGGGCATTGCTGTGATTGAACTGTCTTTTATTTAAATGTATAGACAAGTTTTGGGAACGCCCCCCCCCCCTCTCAAAAAATGATTGGAAGCTCTTAGTACCAATCATGTGAAAGAATATGTTTTGACTAATTCGTGAGGATACAAATTTTGCCGGGACACCGCCTACTAATTGATATACTTGGTAAATTATTATATCTATCCGGACTAGATAGATATCGCGTAGTCCCATATACATCTTTCTGTGTACAGTGCTTGTAACTTAACCAAGACTGGGGCAAATTTCTCATCATTTTGATGACTCCAGAACCTTGCAGAACACACCAATACTTATATGCTAAATGATCAACCTTTTCTGATCGATTCCACAACGTTTCTTCACAATGCAATCGCATAACCAGAACTGGTGTATACCTTTAACCTCTGTGTATTCTCATAGATTCTAGTAGCAGCCAGGGAACAAGCGAGAACCAGAAAGCGGAGCCAAACATTCCAAGCATCAAGACATACACAGGCCCCGCCCCCAAACCAATCCCCGTCTCGGTCGCCAGTCAGAGGGAATGCACAAGCCCTCTGGGTGCGGGCAAGACGGACATGAAAGTCAGCAGTGGCCTTGCAGCAGCGTTCCGTCCTATCCAACCCACCTCCTCAGCCCCACCCTCCTCTGCCGCTTCTCCTCGCAACACCCCGACCCCTCCCAACTGCGAAGGCATCAACCTGGTCATGGACGGGGCAGCCATGAGATCGTACCCCGCCCGAAGGCACCAGCAGGATGCTGACCCCCTACTGTCAAACAGGGTGGGGTCAGAATGGAAGCCCCTCATCCCCACGCCCCCTCCCATGGAAGCACATAGTTCCTATGATGCCTTCAGGCCGATACCATCGGTCCAGAGGATGGCGGGGGCTCCTGGGTCCCACCTGCACTTCAGGAAAGATGGCACACCTGGTAACCCGTATCTCAAGGGATCATATAGGTGAGTTGATATCATCAAACAGCTTTTTTTTTCTAAAGGAGATTCCCAAAAATGATGGAAAAGATCCGGAAAGAAACCCCTATCGGTCTGTAACTTCTACAGTAGATTTGTAGATTTTTTGTGTGAATTCGGTATATGAATTATATAAAGACTGCTTTAATATTCGAGGAATAATTGATTTAATAGGCTCTTGGGAATGTTATATCCTGCTATCACCCCTTGGCACGTCTCGGGGTGATAGCAGGATGTAACGTCCCCTTGAGCCTATAAAAACAACTATCCCTCTCATAGCAGTCATTATATCTATAGAATGAAAGTGCAGAGAAATGTTTTTCAATTTGCTCTTTATTATTGTGCATTTGATAGTCATAAGTGTATATTTGGCATGTATTATTATTCTAAACCTTATTTCTTTCTTCTTTCTTTCACACACACACACACACACATATTCTCTCATTCTCTCTCACTCTCTCTCTGCAATCAGAGCCCCGTCTCCCATGATGGTCACCAGTAAGCTGAAGCCCAGCTGGCAGCAGCAGCAGCAGCTCCAGGGTGGTGGAGCCATGGGGCTAGCTCCGGGGGTCAAACCCTGGACCCCCATGCCCGGTATCGACCTGCTCATCACCAACCTGGACTGCCAGATCACACGCAAGGAGCTCAAGCGCCACCTGGTGGCAGCCATCAGCGAGCATTGCAAGGTGATTTGACATTCTAATTTATAAGATGATGACGTGGATCCTAATCAAATGATTGGTTGAGAGTGTACACGTGACCAGGCATTTATTTTGCCTAACACGTAATTTTGATAATGACCGGTCATTAGTAAATATAAAACATCATTTTATAAAACAAATAAAACAATCTTATAAAACAAATAATACGTTCAGGCGTTAGTAAAATTATCCACACTCTGTACCTTCAAATTTCAAAACCCTCCAAACACCAAAGGCGATAACTGTTCTAAAGGTACCTTGTGGGGGCAATTCTTACTAATGCCCTCATTGCTGTGTATTATTTGTATACTCTATTCTCCATGGAAGCAGGTTATGATGCCAATGCAGTGAAACCTGCTCTAGTGACCACCTCTCTATAAAGACCACTTCTTTAGTTCCCTTTGAAACTCATTTCTCAATGAAACCTGAAGGAAAGGAACCTGTACATAAAGACCACCTGTTCATAAAGACTGCAATTCTTGTCTCCATTGAGTGATCTTTATGCACAGATTTCACTGTAGTTTGCAATTAAACACAATTATGATTGTTCCAAACATCCTAGGGTAAGCTTTATGGGACTCATTTTTTAAATGATGCCTTTAATGTATCCATCTCTAGGTCCTGCACGTGTTCCTGGCCGCCCCTGCTCAAGGTTACTTCCAGGCCGTTGTGAGGGTGCCCTCTATGGGCGATGCTATTGGAGTCCTGGCCAACGTCAACCGTCGTCAGATTGGTTCCAGACTCATACACATTTCCATTATGCCTCCAGGCGATTCTAATGCAGACAGACTGAGGTAAGGCTCACTAATCGATATCAATTATCAAGTTCATTGTTGCTTTTTCTCAGAATTTGGAAGAATGTTTGGTTGTCCCGAGGACTATCAAAATTCAATATGTATAAAGTTCTTCCTGTTGTGTACCAGATTCTACATACACTGCAGTGAAAATTAAGTCTGAATCTGAATATGTAATTGCAGCTAAGCATGACAATTTAAGCCTCCATTTGGAGTTGTAGTGGTCTTCATGATGTTTTTGTCATTTCACATTCCTGTACATGATTGTAAATAGCCAGTTGGCTTTTATGATATCCTTGAGTACCCAATCAAAAAATAAAAAATACAAAAAGTTTGTTGTTGCTCACTTGAGCCTTGTTCAGATATGACACAGTAAACCACAGGGTCCTTTTTTTTAAATGATGACGTGAAATGTAATATGCTTCACATTTGTGTATCCTATAACACAGAGCTTGGTGAATATGCTATGGACCTTTGTTAACCCATGAAAAATCTGCATTTTTTTTGCAGCACTTTACCGCAACATATCTGAACTTGTTTTTATCCCGTTTGCCATTCGTATATGGCAGTTGTAAAACCAACGGTTTCCTGCATCATGGGTGAACACACAAAAAATATCTGTTGAATGACGTTCATTCTGGAAGAGCATCTCTTTTTGTCTGTTTGGTTTACCCTTTTTCTTTTTGTGTGTGTGAAGGGTGATAGACCTTTTGCTTGTTATTCATATTTCTATTTGTTATTACTTTACTGAATGCATAATGTCTTTTTATACAGAAATAAAACAAACAAACATATCCTTATCTTTCATTCAGAATGATGATCATCCAGATGCTGCAGGAGATCCCAGGAATGAGCATGCCTCTCTATAAACTCAGACAAGCCTTTGAAAACAAGTAAGACTCTATCTCTCTTTCCATTTCTGAATACTTGTTCAGGTGTCGTGCCACTCGCCCACTTTTGCGATGTGAAGATTTAAAGCAGAAGCTCCGAACCTGTAGGCTCCTTGCTTCAGGGCTTTTACGTCTATCTATTTGAGTTGTCTCAAGTTTTTCTGGTTGACTAATTTAAAGGTAAAGACCAGTATTGGAAACACCCCAATTTCAAAAAATTAAATGGAAGCTCTTTATTACCAATCATGTGAAAACATATGTTTTGACTAATACATGATGATAACAATTTTGCCGGGAAACCGCCTACTAATTGATATATTTGGTAAATTAGTTTATCTATTGGACTGATAGAGATAAACGCATGTGTCGCGCATGTGTGCGTAGTCCCATATACATCTTTCTGTGTACAGTACTTGTAACTTTATGAAGACTGGGCCAAATTTCTTATCATTTTGATGATTCCAGAACCTTGCAGTACACACCAATACTTATATGCTAGATGATCAACCTTTTCTGATCGATTCCACAACGTTTCTTTCACAATGCAATCGCATGACCATAACTGGTCTTTATCTTTAATAGCAGAGTAGGCCTACAGAACAGTCCAGCATGGGTGGGTTTGAGGGGCGGGGGGCTGGTAATTATATGATTACAAGGTTAGATTATATGATGTTTCACAGCAAAGATTTTTTATAGTGAAATATTTCAATGAATCATGTTCAAGTTTATTCTACTCCTACCCCAATATAAATTTTGGAAGTGTTGATAAGGGCTATAGTTGATGATAGAGATGACAGAAAATTTAAAAGATTTGAACAGATCACGACTATGAGAAAAATCTCATCTGGAACCTACCGAGGGGTCAGTGACACAAAGGTAACTCCATTTTGGCCATTTTGAGAAAAAGTGGTGTACATGTATGTGTCGCTGAGCACTTGTGCCTTACGGAGTTAAGTCTATGTTTCACTAGCCGTTGACTTCAGTGGGGTGTGGGGTGGAGCCAAGTCATTGTGTTTCCTGGAAAGCCCACATTTTCCTGAACATTTTGATATCAAATACTCATTTTAGAAAAATATGGAATTACGTCTTTGTGTCACTGACTCCTTGATATCCACCTCATCTTTCTTTCAGATACCAGCAGCAGCTCCATGTAAGCGACCTCTACCAGATTCCTGACACGGTCACAATGCAAGAAACACATGGTGGAAAGCTTGTTTGTCTGACCGTGCTCAGCGCATCCAACTCTCCCGTACCTGGCAGTTACAACTCTCCCCTCGGCTGGCAGTCTCCTTCCATCCCGTTTATACCACAAAGGTGAGTGATTTGGAGGAAGGCAATGGTGATGATGATGAGGAGGAGGATGGTGATGATGATGATGATGAGGAGGAGGAGGAGGATGATGATGATGATGATGATGATGATGATGATGATGATGATGATGAGGAGGAGGAGGATGGTGATGATGATGATGATGATGATGATGAGAAGGAGGAGGATGGTGATGATGATGATGATGATGATGATGATGATGATGAGAAGGAGGAGGATGAGAAGGAGGAGGATGGTGATGATGATGATGGTGATGATGATGATGAGAAGGAGGAGGATGAGAAGGAGGAGGATGGTGATGATGATGATGGTGATGATGATGATGATGATGATGATGATGATGATGATGATAATGATGATGATGAGAAGGAGGAGGATGATGATGATGAAGATGATGATGAGAAGGAGGAGGACGATGGTGATGATGATGATGATGAGGAGAAGGAGGATGGTTGTGGTGATGATGATGATGATGATGGTGATGGTGATGATGAAGAAGGAGGAGGATGATGGTGATGATGATGATGATGATGATGATGATGATGATGATGATGATGATGATGATGATGATGATGAATGAGGACAAGGATGATGATGTTGATGATGATGAGGATGAGGATGATGTTGATGGTGATGGTGATGGTGATGGTGATGGTGATGGTGATGGTGATGATGATGATGATGATGATGATGATGATGATGATGATGATGAGGAGGAGAAGGAGGAGGATGATGATGATGATGATGATGATGATGATGATGATGATCCTACAAATTATTTATTCTGATATGATGACATGGATCATATAGCCAATATATTCAGCCAACTGATTGTTTCAGCATCGAGCTCTCGAAGTCCAGAAGCACCGTGAGAGGATTTGTAGAATATGGTCTTTATAGACAGGTGGGCTTTCTATATGGGTGGTCACTAAAGCAGGTTTGACTGTAATATGAATTTCTTTGCATTGTTTCACATGAATATGTGAACAAATAATGAGAAAAAAAGTCATGTTCTTCTTGCAGAGAGCCCAGTCCAGAGCCATCCGAACGTTTCTGCAGTCGACACGACCCTGAAGGTCAGAGCCAGTACAGATTGCTTGACACTGATCTCTGTGTGATGGTGGCCTATCAAACCTTCACTGCTCAGGTCACGACCCTGCTCAACCTCCACAGTGGTTCCTTATCTCTCCTAAGGTAAGCTAAAGTAGCTGGTCTGTGAAACCTGTATAGAAAGATAGCCCTAGGAAACACAACAAATTTTCTTTGTTGTCAGGTGGTCTTTAAACATGGGTTTCCTGTATTAGAAATTTTAAAGAGAATCATAATTTCAAGGGAAATAAAAAACATGGCCTTAATATACAGGTGGGCTTTCTATACAGGTGGTTGCTACAGCAGGTTTGAATTTGATGTGAATTGATATTGTATTGTTTCACTCGAACATTTTACAAAATCATGAAAATATAAAGGTTGTTGGTAAATGTTTCTGTAATCAATTTGTCATGTGAAGCCCTTATATTGTTCACAATTTACAATAGTGCACAATTTACCAAAATCATGTCTAAAGAGTGCTACATAAGAAAAATCATAAATGAAAGCAGGACAAAGAAAAAGAACCAAAATAATGTAGGGTTTGTTGTTTCTCAGAAGACAATCACATACATCTATCTGCAGAGATGTCACTATTGTCTTTTGCAAGGCATTAATCTACATTTGAAAATCAGGGTAGCTCAGATAATGCTGGGGTAATACTAGTATAGCGCTTTAAAACATTAGTATTAAGCGCTGGATAAATACTATTATTATTTATTCAAGTACGAAATGTAAGACAGTTTCATTTTTTTCTTGCCTTCTCCCCTTGTTAGCTTCCCTCTGTGTTACAAAGCAGAGTTCAATGACCTTGATGAGGACTTTGAGAAGGGGATTCCCTTGGAGCACCTGCTCAACTCAGTCCCGGGGGTGAGGGTAGCCTTCTGCAGGGAGGGCTTCAAGGTCATCTGCTGGAGCCAACAGAAAGAGGAGGTCATCACTGATGGTAAGTACATTGTTCAATTTGTGATGTTATTTGAGTTTTGTTCTGCGATAAGGCCTAAAAAAAAAGATGTTGTATTGCCTTTTAGAGGTGCCAAAACATGAGTCGGTCTGTCAGATTTTTTTTTTTTTTTCTTTTTTTTTCATTCCCTCTTTTGGCTGATATTTCTCAGTTTTGAATGCTTTGATACATTTTTAAAAGCCGACCGTAGATTTCAAGATTTTTGGGTCGGTCGCAAAGGGCAATACAACATCTTTTTTTTTTTAGGCCTAAGTTGAAAACCATTGAATTGATTTTAACTAAACTTGGATCTAGTATGTATGAGCATGCAAGGATGGATTGACTAGATTTTGGATGCTAGATCAGTCAAATTCATGTTGTTGGAAAATGCCTTTGAATTTGAGTTGCCTAGATAAATGTATGTGGGCATAGGCCAACTGAATCTGGAAAGTGTCTGGAAATTGAGGCTCTTATTGAAATTAAATCTATTTCTAGATATCAATAGATATACAATAACCAATTTCCCATTGACTTACTTGAATATTCAATTCTATATTGAGTATGACGTGGTATTTGATTCATATGAATTAAGGATAGTTGTACAAAATTTCAAAGGATTCATTGTCTAAATATGAGGCATTGTATTTTTTAATATGACTTCCTTTATTTCAAAACATTTGTAATTTCATGAATTTTGCAACATTTGTAACAAAACCAAGAAACCTTTCAGAATCATGTTAAAACTGTTTTATTTACTCAACGAGTTACAAATGATATTATGTTAAAATTCTGGAGAGATATTTGTGTATTTTGTGTATTCTGCTTTGTATAGCACCTTGAGTAAGTAATTAGAAGAGTGTGCTTTATAAATATTTATTATTATTATTATTATTACTTATCTAGTAAAGTGCTTTAACAGAACTCCATATATAATCAAAACTACTTCTTTTGACCTTTTTTTCAGATGGGCAGCAGATTTTCCCGCCTCTGCTAGGGCGGACCACACCCCTCCTACCTCCGGCCCTGTTCCAGTTCAGCAAGGAGGTGGTAGAGCTTCTGAAACACTCCACCAAGTGTCGTCTCCCGTTCACCCGCTTTGTCCCCGCCTATCACCATCACTTTGGCAGACAGGTTCGGGTGGCGGACTATGGCTATCTCAAGCTGATTGAGCTATTCGAGGCAATCTCTCATGTCTTGGAGGTATGAAAGGAAACATCATTATTTACCATTGAAAATGTATGTTACTTTCTTCGCCTGTCTGCACAGTCGCTCAATAAGCCAGTTCGTGAATACTATCTGCACATGGGCAGATAAAGGTAATTTTGAGGGGTCAGTGACACAAAGAAGTGGTTTATGTGTCACTGAGCCTTAAGGAGTTAAATCTATGTTTCACTAGCCATTGACTTCAATGGGGTGTTGGGTGGAGTTAAGTCTTTTTATTTCCTGGAAAGCCCACTTTTTTATTAACAATTTGATTTCAAATACTCATTTTGGCAAAATATGGTCATCATTAAGTTGTAGATTGTTTCATTTCATCCTGACCGTTCACAATGATTTCTTGTTTCAGATCCTTGGTGCTACTGAGAACAAGACCCTGACCTTGACCCATCGTGCTCAGGTCAAGAGGTTCGGTCAAGATCTTCTCAAGGTGCTCAAGTCACAGGCCAGTAAGAAGGTAGGTTATGTCTTTGAACCCTCTACAAACATGTGCTTGGTAGTGGCAGTAGTAGTAGTAGTGGTAGAAGTGGTAGTGGTGGTATTGGTAGTGGTAGTAGTTTCGGACAAGATCTTCTCAAGGTGCTCAAGTCACAGGCCAGTAAGAAGGTAGGACATGTCTTTGAACCCTTTCCAAACATGTGCTTGCATACCTGCCAACCCTTCCGAATAATCCGGAATATTCTGATTTTCTGATTTTGAGGACCTGAAAATTCTGAATATTCTGATTTTGTTTTGTTCGTGGCAAAGCCAAATTAAGCTTGTTTTATCATGTGCTGCGATATGAGAGTTCATGTATTGCATGCATTGAATGGCTGCATGATCGAGCAGCAAATTAGTATTTGCTTTTTGGTACAGATTTACCACGTATTGTCAGTTACACTACCACTGCAAGTGCATTTTTTTATTTTCTAAGGCATACCGTGCTAAACATTCCTAGTTCTTATTTTCAAATGTTGGCAGGAATGAAACATGTGCTTGGTTTGTACCACTGAATGAGGCTTGTCACGTGAAGAGCATACATGTAGTTTCAAGATTACTAGCCAATAAGCCATTTTCAGAAAGTATTCAAATTTACTTAGGATAGAGCTATTACATTCTCATTGAATTTCATTGGAATAAAAAATATTTGTTACTAGGGAGGACAAACATTATGGCTTGCCTTACCTAACAACAAGTAAATAATGCAATTTACATTCCGACTATTAGTGTACAATTATTTGTAACGGGTGAATGAAATAATCTGTAACGAGTCAGTTCAGAAAGTCATATGCATGAAATGATTACATAACAAAAATTGTCTGTTGTTTCCAGTATCTCTAGCATTTCATTGTCTTGGTAAATACATTAAAAATTGACATTTTTGGATAAAATTAATGAAACTATGTGAACAAGCAGCAGTCAGTCCGAACTCGTCCTTTTGAACTATTTTTCTTCCTGTAGTATCTAGGTACATTGTTTGCTTTTGGTTTATAAGTTTGTTCTGGCAATTTACTCTGGGTAGAAGTTGTAGTAGTAGTACCAGCAGCAGCAAAATTTTGGCAAATACAAAAAAAAATAATAGGTGAAAAGCATGAAAATACATGCAAAAAAAGAACATTGTACAATTTAACACTTATGATGAGAATATTTGATGAATACAAAATGTAAAAGCCTCCATAGTGCTGCTCTAACCTCCATTACTCTTTCATCCCATTATATTTGGATCCTTTTAATACTTTTTTTTTCTTTCTCTTTGATAGCAATTTTTTTTTAAAAATGAGATTGGTCTTGGCTTAGGGTCCTTAAGCTGTATGGCAATGTTGTCTCTCAGTTTTAGGATATCTATAAGTTGTAAACACCATAACCAACACAAGTTGTAAACTACCGATCGCTGTCTATCAATCGTCACTCTCATTCAGGTGGTCATCAATGATTTTGCCCCTCTTTTTCAGGTGACTGCTGCTTGTTCATGTAGTTTCATTAATTTTTATCCAAAAATGTCAATTTCGAATGTATTTACCATGACAATGAGATGCTAGAGATACTAGAAACAACAGACCATTTTCGTAATGTAATCAAATTTCATGCATATGACTTTGTGAATACCATAACCAACACAAGTAGTAAACTAGCAATTACTGCCTATCAATCGTCAATCTTTTTCAGGTGGTCATCAATGACTTTGCCCCTGCATTCCAGAGATGCCTGGGTCGTCCGTGGGAGACCGCTGATTACGGCATCTGTGACATCCAGGACCTACTCTTTGACCTCCCTGAGAACTGGGTCACTGTAAGTATTTGGGATTCTCATCTTGAGGGTGTTTCCCAAATGTCCTAAGTTGAACTTATCTCTAAGTTAGATTTAACAATTATGGAAAGCTGTAAGCATCTATGAAAATATTTTGTAAAAGTTATTTTAAAAGGCATAAAATGTTGATTCAAATCAATTATATTTGCTATTATTAAGGATATTTCATGTTCTTGATGTGGAATTTATAAAAAGTCTAAAACTTTCTCCTTTTAATATATTCTATTTTAAGGCTACAAATGGCTCTCCATAATTTTTAAGTCCAACTTAGAGTTAAGTTTGACTTAAAATCTTTGTGAAACACCCCCCTTGTGTTGTAGTCATAATGGAAATGTATTCTCATAGAAATGCACACAGATTATTCGAGATAAGTGAAGACCTGCTAAATGGTTTTGATAGAACATATCCAGACAACTACCCTCTGTACAAATACCCCCCAACGACAGTTACTCCTATGTTATTTTCCTGGGGGGGGGGGGGTAATTGTCCCTGGTGTAAGTGTTCTTGGGGGAGGGATAATTGTCCTAGACTATGGTAAAATACATGCATGTGTAATAGATGAGTTATGAGCAAGGAATAAGTCCAAGTCCAGACATCTTCCTCAGACATTTACTACCCGTTGTCTGACATCTATTAAGTGGCAGCTAGCTACTAGTGCACGTCCGAGGAATGTGTCTGGGCCTTTCAAAATACTAGACAAATTACAATAACCGATATAATCTACTGAAATCATGGCATTTGATTGGCTGTGAGCGAATTTGTCATAGAAATCGAGCATTTGTTATTGAGGTATGAGTTATTGAGTTTTATGAACCAGGGCCCTGGACTTAGACCCCTGGGGGGTGTTTCACAAAACTTGTCACCAATGACAAATGACAGTTGTTGTTATAAGCTACTGAAATCCTTGCTTTTGATTGGTTATCACCAGATTTGTCACTGATGTTTGTCATTTTTCATTTGTCATAGAAAAAAGGCTTTGTGAAACGGGTCCCTGAACTGTCACTTAGATAAATAAATTTGGATGTGTGATTGAACTGTTCTCTTTTTGTTTTGTGTTTTTTTCCCCTCTTAACATCAGATTGAATGGGACGGTGATAACACAGTGATATCAATTCCAAAAAGAGGTAAGTGTTCTGGATAAGTAGACAGTTCTACTGAAAAAAAAATCATTAATTTCTCTGTTAAATTCTAACTAAGCCCAAGACAACTCGTGCTAATAGATAATATTGAAATTGAAAATGAGTCTTATACAAATATTTGGGTTAGATTGCAAATTTAGCATGTGATTTGTTGGTTTTTCTGCTGTATAATAATTAAAGGGATTGGGTAACTTTGTCTCAGATTCTGAAACAAAATCCTGGATTTAGCTCATGCTGCAATGATAATTATAAACCTTTAGGTCAGTCAGGAACCCCATGACTTTTACAAGCATGTCTGATTATCAAGATATTTATGATTGGAAATCAAAATTTAAAAATTTGTTTTCCTGACGGTTTTTACAACACTGCAGTCTATTGGGAAAAATTAGTATGGTAAAACCGGTCCTTCAAAGATTTTTACTTTTTGAGGCACTTTATGATCATTTTGAAGTGCAATTTTGTCAAAGATTCAGTGTTACACCAAATTACAGACACTGAAAACATGTTGGGCCATGCATCTCAGATTTAACATTGTTAAACGATGCCTTTAACTCCTATTAATCTGTCTTCTTAGAGCAAACAGAGGAGGAGTGTATACGAACGAAGAAGTTTACCAGGGAGATCGTCGACCTCCTGAGCCGACAGCATCGATCTCGCATCACGTTTTCCAAGTTCATCCCCGCCTACCACCATCATTTTGGCAGGCAGTGTCGGGTTGGGGAGTATGGATTCAACAAGCTGGCTGAACTGCTGGGGGCACTGCCAGAGGTGGTGCAGGTGAGTTTTGTGGTCTGAAAGGGATTGGGTAACTTTGTTTCAGATTCTGAATAAAAATCCTGGATTTAGCTCATGCTGCAATGATAATTATAAACCTTTAGATCAGCCAGGAATCCCATGACTTTTATAAGCCTGTGTGATTATCAAGATATTTATTATTGGAAATCAAAATTTAATTTTTCGTTTTCCTAACGGTTTTCATTACACTACAGTCTATAGGGGGAAAAGAGTGTGGTAAAACCGGTCACTCAAAGATTTGTACTTTTTTTAGGCACTTCATGATCATTTTGAAGCGCAATTTTGTTAGGGCTTCAATAGTACACCATATCACAGACACTGATAACACCTAGAGCCATGCATCTCAGATTTAACATTGTTAAACGATGCCTTTAGCAATTACGATCGACGTGTTTTCTACAGCCTTGTTCAGATATGGAGCTGTAAACTGCAGCATTAAAAAAAGAAAAGACGATGTAAAAGTGTAATACACCTCACATATCCTATCCTATAGCACGGAGCTAAGTGAATACACATACGATGCACGCAGTTGCCATTCGTTCACATGTAAAAAAAACCTGTGGCAGGTGGGAGGCAACGTTTGATCAAGTCTGTGTTTTTTTTTATCAAGGTAAAATTCTTTGGATGATAAATGAAGGGTATGATTCTATATACTATGATTTTGTTATAAAAAAATCTTCAAAAGATATTTAGCTGCATAGAACTACTAAATCCTTACTCTTTTTTCCAAGTCAAGTAGAACAGATGGTTCTTAGCTGAACTTATAGTTGCTATTGCCTACATAAATATGTACAATGAAACCTGTCTATAAAGACCACCCAAGGGAGACAAGAAAAGTGGTCTTTGTAGACAGGTGCCTGTAGCACATGGTTCAATGAGAAACCATTTTCAAGGGAAACAAAAAATGTGGTCTTTGTAGACAGGTGGTCACTAAAGCAGGTTTGACTGTATGATGATGAGTATTTCTCTCCCCATGTCTCTCTAGATTGAAGAGTACGGTGACGAGCGGAGCGTCCAGCTGACGGAGCCCGAGCGTCTTGCCGTCATGGCCCGTCGCATCTCACAGCTGGTGCCAAGGAACCGGCAGCACTCCCTAGCCCTCCATGCCCTGCTCCCAGCCTACTGTAAGGTCTTTGGTCATCCTGTCTGTCTTGAAGACTACGATGTTCATGACCTGGAGTCGCTGGTCCGCAGGTTCTGCCACATTGTTGAGGTACGTTTCTCTCATTTTTTTGTTGGGGGGGGGGGGGGGGGGGGTGTTTAGTTGGATTAATTTCATGTTGGATAGGTTCAGCGCTCTATACATGCATTATTATTATTATTATTATTATTGTCAGGGATGCCAGTTTTCAGGCAATAGCCTGAATTCAGGCCCTGGCAAGTTATTTTCAGACCACAGTTTTGGCTTTTTTGTGTACAAAATGGCTCATTCTAGGTGATTTCAGGCCCTCTGATCAATTCTAACTGGCATCCCTGCATTGTGATGTACTGTAGTATGAGTTGGTTCATAGCAGTGAAAGGGGCAGTAGAGAGGTAAGTCGTTGTGGTACAGTGGATAAGTCTCTGGGACTGAACCACAAGGTACAGGGCTCAAATCCCTGTTGCGGCACTAATGTCCATGTGCCACTCTCCACCCAGGGGAAGTACATGGGACCCCGGTAGGAAGAAATTTCTTGAACGTTCTTTGGTGGATAGCTACTCTTGGGGTAATAATATGATACTTTGTATTAAGCGTAGTAGAGTGTATTTGTGTAGTAGCTGCACCATGTAATTGGATATTTGAATAGAATTGAAATTTATTGTCCCTTTCAGGAAATTCTTTGTTCACTGGTTTTATATAGGAACATCCACAATCACTGGTGTACAGAGAGAAAAGTACAGGAGAAAGGACGCATCCTTGAGGTGCTCCTGTGTTCAGAATTCTCATCTTAGATTGAACATTACCCATTATCACTTTCTGTGGTCGATTGCTCAGGAAGTCCTGGATCAATGAAATAATTTTGCGTTATGTAAATGAATGCTTTATTATCATCTATCTTTCTCCTCCCCCGCTTTTCACTTCTCCTCCCGCATTCAGATCGTGACTGAAGATGATGACAAGCGCCTGCGATCGGTGGAGCGGGAGCACCTGAGTGACTTGACCCAGCGGATCCTGGTGGTCCTCCTGGAGCAGCCACGAGGGAGTGCATCGGTGGAGAAGGTGGTGGAGCTTCACAAGAAGCTATGGGGCGAGGAGCTGGTAGCAACGGAGTACGGGTATAGCAGCGTGACTCTGCTACTCAAGGCTGTCCATCATGTGGTCATGGTAAGAGACTTAGATATTAGGCATGTTTCTACAGGATTACATATCAAGGGGTCAGTGACACAAAGACGTAACTCCATTTTGGCCATTTTGAGTTTATGTTTGGTTTATGTGTCACTGAGCACTTGGGCCTTAAGGAATTAGTCTGTTTCACTAGCCATTGACTTCAATGGGGTGTTGGAAGGAGTTAAGTTTTTGTGTTTCCTGCAAAGCCCACATTTTTCTGAACATTTTGATATCAAATACGCATTTTGGTAAAATATGGAGTTACGTCTTTGTGTCACTGAACCCTCGATATACCCTTAACTTCCAGACTTTTCTGGGTACGTGCTTCTGTAGAAACACACCGTAATCAGATTATAACGCTGATAGAATAGTGTACTCATCTCTAGAGGTTTCCAAATGAGCGAAATATTTAATCACTATTTTCATGTACAAATTGGCAATTTCATGATGATTTCTTGTAATTTCCTTCATTTTGTTTATATCATACTCATTTTAATTTTATTTGAAACTATAAGAGAGAGGAAAATACAAATAATTGGTGCCACTATAATGAGGGAAAGCTGATTCACTTAGTAGCTTTAGAAAAAATCTGAACTGCAATGGCTTAATTTTCACCAACAGGTAAAAGACGAGTGGTCGGACGACCCCTGTGCCGAGCTGACCCCTACCTACCAGTTTTCCCGTAGTGCCCGGGAGGTCCTGATCTCGGTACCAAACCAGACCCTGACCCTCCAGGCCTTCATGTCTCGCTATCAAGTCGTCCATTGCTGCGAGCTCCTACCCCACGACTTTGGCCAGACCACAGTGTCCTCCCTCATCTCGTCGGTACCGAGGGTGCTGACCTTGGTGGGGCGCGGCGCCCAGAGGGCCATCACACTCAACCCCTGCTGCATCGGTGAGTCCAGTGCCTGCCCGCAGACTCTTCTCCCAATTTTGGGAGTATTTGTGTTGCTTTTTGTTTTGTGTCTGTCACGTACTGTATAAGCTGTTATTTTTGCGAATATCGCGAATTTTGGCATCTCATCATTCCGGAGCGCAAAAATATCAGCATAAAATTATGTGCTTGCGTCCTCTCGATCGCTAGCTAGTAGTAACTGCTTTATGTTCGAAATATCAGCTTATACAGTAACTTGCTTCTTACTGGTCTGAATCTTATTTTTTCCCCCTTGAGAAACTTTTGAACAGTGATGTACATGTATAACGAAGCGCATTATATGTTGCCATCTCTAAGCCCTTCACAAAAGAAAAAATGTCATGCTTATAAAATGTACTTACATGGATTGATTAACTAACTTAAGATACCAGAACTCAGATGCTGAGAAAAGGTGACTTATGCATCCTATGTATCCCAGTGTTTCTGCAGTCTTTCCTTCATTATGAATCTTTGTGAATTGCAACAATTTTTTAGAGCATGTTCAGTAGAGAAAAAAGCCTACTCAGTCCAATGCATCCACATGTTGTTTTTTTCTTCTCATACGGTTCTAAGATTACCACACCAATACTTTTCCAGTTACTGAGAATCTTCTTTATCTGTTTTACGGTTTTCAGTTACAAGTGACGGACAAACTTATCAGGATCACTCGTTTTCATCGGAGCACAACAAGACATCCCCCAGTGATTACACAGGTTAGATTCTTAATACTATTTACTGATCCACAGGTAGGGGAGGAGAGATGGTTTCCTTTGCTCAAGGTGCTGTAAACAAGGAAGGTGTTTCACAAAGATCCCAAATCGAACTTAACTCTAAGTTCGACTTAAGAATTATGGAGAGCCATTTGTAGCCTTAAAATAAAATATATTAAAAAGCAAAAATTCAAGTATTTTAGACTTTTGAAATCATGAAATCTCCTTGATAATAAAAAAAATATGAATGTGTACCAACATTTTATGCCTTCTTTACAAAATATTTTTACAGATGCTAACGGCTTTCCATAATTTTCCATAATTATTAGGTCTAACTTAGAGATAAGTTCAACTTAGGATCTTTGTGAAACACCCCCCTGAAATTGTACATCCATGATGCTTTAACAAATTCCGCCTGTGGTTGAGATTTAAAAAAGTTTTTTTTCATGCCATGATGTAACTCAATTAACGATGATAAACAAAAATAACTTCTGAAATATATTCATTTCACAAATATCAAATTACACAGTAATTGCCAAATGGCCTGTTAAATTTTTGCTTAGATCATGATCAAAATACTACAGCTAATTAAATGGTTTTACACATTTTCCACTTTAAATTTGCTGGAATTTAAAATGTTAGGGTACTTGAATATGTTCTTCATTGTAAAATAGAAGTTATAGGTTTGTACTTATTCAATTATTGATTGTAATGTTTCTTTTTTAGCACCAAGTTCCACAACCAGTGAGAAGGAGAGTGGGAAGACATCTTCTAGTACTTCTACGTCAGGTAAAGGAATGTTTTATTTTCCAGGGAAGTCTTAGATTCTAATGGTAATTATGTGCTATTTTTTTAAAGGATCTGATAAAAACCCTGCATTCAATACCAACTGGTAGAGAATGCATAAGAGGCTATGATTTCACGGACAGACAGGGTTTGATACCATACTTGTGCAACAGCTGTCCTCACTATATGTGTATATGTATAATGCCACAAGCCGGTCTATAGACTAATCTACTAAAATATGATGCAAATTTTTCATAGCAGAGGCCTTCAAAATTTTGATAGATTTGGTAGATTTCGCATCAATCAAAGCTGGAATGGTGTACGCTTACCCCAAAAATGATTCTCCAACTTCTATTCTCCCTCGCCATAGAATCTGATGGTGTGAAGGGATCGAGCCCTCGAGCTGAGTCTGCTCCATGTGATCTCATGTCGGGTGGAGCAGCTCCCTCTAGTGACCAAGCTCCCTTCCTGGAGCCAACCCATGCTGAGGCTCCTCCTCCTCTTCTTCCTCCCAAGGATCTCATCAGCTTCAACAGCCCCATGTTTTCTCCACATAAAGGTAAGGAGAGAGGGTTGTCCATTGACTAAGAGGTCATTTTCATCTGTTTGGAGCCAGAAGGGTGTTAACTCATTTGAACTGAATGCACTACATTCTTTTTTATTATAAAGATTAAGAAAATTGTAGTGGTACACCTGCATTCGAATGTCATTGAGTAGGTGAATAAGTGCTTGAATGAACCGTATCATAAAGCATATAACTTTAGACATATTACGTGTGATAGACAATTAATAAGACTTCCTTCTCTTTCTTTGTGTGTGCTTGTTTAGAATCCCAGAGTGCATCGGGTGACCAGGAGAAGATAGAACACATCGATCTGAGGAGCCTCCTCCACCTCCTGCCAAACCAAACCCGCTTCAGCGTCGGCCAGTTGCCCCACGACCTCTGCAACCCTCTACCAGGCCACGCCCTTCAATCAGGACCGGCCTCCTTACCCCACTCCGCCTCCACCTCGTTCTGTGTGGATCAGGGTGGGGACGACGGCGAGCTGCTACCCCACCACCTCCAGCAGCGCCAGGCCTGCTCCCTGCCGTCGTCTGCCGCTTCGTCTCCAAGGCGCGACATCTTGAGAGGGCGCACTCGCTTTCGCCTTGCCGCAAACTTTTCCCTGGGATTTCAAGAGGTACCATAAGAATTTCAAGAGGTACCATGAGAATTTCAAGAGGTACCATGAGAATTTCAAGTTGTACCATAAGAATTTCAAGAGGTACCATAAGAATTTCAAGAGGTACCATGAGAATGTCAAGAGGTACCATAAGAATTACAAGAGGTACCATAAGAATTACAAGAGGTACCATAAGAAATTCAAGAGGTATAAGAATTTTAAGAGTTACCATAAGAATTTAGAATCGGTAAGAACATGTGCGTTCTAGGAACACATGCTTTGCAGTTAACTGTTATATGTACATTTGTTATGCATGTGTTGTGGTAAGCAGCCTCTGCCTACCATTGTAAACAATTATTCTCTTAATATGAGTTGAGATTTCGACTCGGTTATCCATCCAATCTTCAGTATTACATGCATTATGTTTAATGTGGATAATGTTTGCGTCAAGAACCGATGCTACAGTTAAGATGCGATGATCGTCTGTTGTACATACATGTAAGAGTAAGATGTTTTTATGATGTGTACAGTTGTAACCATGTTGAGATTCATTTCATTCAAGTATTGCAGTGCTTCAAACTCAGGTGCAACATGTGACATTACCTTGTGACTATCATTATGTATGCATATTTGTTGTAGCAGGACTACCATTGAAGTCTTTGTAGAGCAATAGCCAAAGGTTTTTTCCATTGCTAACATAATTTGCAGGTTGTCTACATGTATACATGTATATAGCTTGCTCTGTGTAAGATTTTTTGGCAATCAAAATTGGTGCTTTGGCAAATTTGGAGATAGGTTTTTGTACCATCCTGTGTTGATTCAATTTTTATGTTCTTTTCATACTCAAAGCTGTGAAGTTGTCGTCAATCAGTATGGCTTGTTTGATGTTTTAGGTATTCACAGTTTTTCACAAATGAAAGAAATATTTAGAGATACCAATTATACAATTATAGAGGACAATCATTAGAAACATGAGAACAAAATCTGAAATTAAAAAGATATTTGCTTTGAATTGTGGCTATCTGCTTGAATGGAACTCTCCTTGTTTTAAGCGGGGGCTCCAATTCATAACTCAAAAGAATAAAATAGGTAAAAGTTCACCTAGCTGTTTATATTTTCTTTTTCTGAAATACAGATTCCCACATGTGTAACCTAAAGTATTAATTTATTTTGGCGTAGGACTAAAATCATTACCAATACTTTTTTCATTTAACAACTCTCAAGAGATGAAGAATTTTGATGATGAAATAAGGCTTCCTTTTGAATATAATGGAATGTGTGAAATTATGATTTTGTTTAATGCAATATGATTCCTCCATTGTTGCTTTTTTACTTGCCACTGCCACGGGTCTGATGTTTGATTTATTTTCTCTAAAAGTTTTGCAACATGCAAAGCTTTGTTCGCATGTGATGTGGTTAACAGCTTCTTTCAAACATCACCAGCAAAATAAACCATTTTATGTGTAAATAGATGGCTTGCGAGGGTGAAAAAAAAATCAAATTAGCTGTGTGCACAGAAAGACTTAAAGTGCACTCACACATCTATGTTGTAAGATACAGAAATAAGAGGCGCGCTATGTTTCATTTTTTTATTTTGCTGCTTCAGCTGCTTTGAGTTGGTTTATCCTGCGCCGTGTTAACAAAGCTTAATGTAGATGTTTGTGTTTGTAAAGTACAGAGAAGAATTGTATCTTATGCTTGTAGCAAAAATTCTTGCTAAAAGGGCATTTTATACAAGCTTCCTATTATACTTGGTTATTTGTATGGTAAAAATATGTGCAAATTGTAAATACTACTTAAGTTGCTAGGGAAAGAGAATAAACACTGCGTGCGATATGAGAGAGTATGTATTCATCAGAATGCATGTAACATAAAGATAAACATGTTTGTTTATTTTTGTACCTATAGAAAGTTAAAAGGAGATTAAGAAGTGCAATTGTGTGATGTTTGTTAAGACTAACAAATGGACCACACACTTGGACAAAATGTTTATTTGTATTATCATATATGAAGAGGATTTGGGGATAGCACATTGCAAAGATTGTATTTGCAAGATAGTGCAAAACAAAGTTTGAAGCAAAACTTTGAACATCATGACAAAGAATGTTGTCATAATTTGAATGTGCTTCATTCAGATATTTACTTATTATTTTGCCATTAAGGTAACAATATTGTTAAAAGTCATAGTGCCAGATTTGTTTCATATTTGTAAGCCATTGAAACACCAGCATTATGGTGAAAAGTAACAATATTTGGAGATTCTTTTTTGTTGAAAAAATTGAATTCTGCACTTACAGTGTATATGTAACATGGTGTGTCTCACTGACTATAGTTTTATTAATAACTCAGGAATAGACTTGTCCTGAAAGAATGCACTAGCATTGTTTGCTGCATTGTGGTGAATTTCAAAAAGAAATCCAGTTTTCAAAAGGGAACACCTCCTAAAGATAATAAGCTGTTCTCTCCAGCAAAATGACTAGTCTGACACGAGTATAGTTAGCATTTTGGAGAAATTCACGATCGGTGTTGTGTTGTACGTTTACCCGATATAAACATGATTGCAAATTGCATTATTTTTATGTTAGTGTGTGAAAAACTTCTATTGTACAAGTGGAGCTCTATTGAAATTTAGTTTACACCTTACATGAAAGAGGTTTGAATAGGATTATTTTAAATCCATGGCCAAATGTAAGAGGATACGAGAAAAGAGGTAGCCATTACTATGGTAATGCTCTAAGTAGTTTATAAGTGTTGAGAGTTTAATATTTGCATTGAGTAGCAAATACTTTGATAGGGTATTCAGTTTTAAAATGCGTTCAAATGTGAAAAAGCAAATTACTGTAGGTGAAGAAATTTAATGTTCTTCTGTGTACCGGTAGTAAAAATCAATTTCATTAGCACACATCATTATTTCATTGCATGGTTTAATTAGTGAGTTGAATAGAAGTTAAAGAATATTAGTTTGAAATGGAATAGCAATATGATTATTGCTGGATTGATTTTTACTGAAGAAGGAATTGTTTTTCCTAGAAATTATTTATGAACTGCTTCCTCAATATTGTGCATATGTTGAGAAAATTGGAATGATTTGTATATGGTCTGTTTGGAGCCATAAGGGCGCCAACTCATACACTTCAATACAGAGTTAATGCTCTTCTGGCTCCAAACAGACTTGCAATTGAATCACAATAATTTTGGAAGAGCAAGCACAGAAATCTTAGTTTAGGAGCACTTTTAACGATCTATGGCTACATTGAAAACAGTAGCAATAGCAAGAGGTGCTTGTGTCAAAACATATTTTCTAAGTGTGTCTTCCAAGTTTCGATAGCATAGATGAATATGTCATAGATGATATTTGAAAATATTTTTGATTGTGCCCTTCCTCTCTAGTTTTAGTTCTTGTATTCTATTACATGCCAGTTTATACCGAAGCGTTTTGTATCGGTCAGTTATGCTGGTAGAGAAATCGAGACATTTCCAGAAAGGTGTGGAAAATGGATTTTTCTCATTCCCAGATATTCTACTTTTGAATCAGAATTTATCTTTCAAATGTAGATGTAATGAAGTTAGAAGGCGCATCAGAATAGGAACACAGTGTGTTCTAGAGTCAAACTGATCATCTATAGCATTTTTAATGAAATATTGAGAGGAACCTTAAGAGAAACCCTTGAAAAGATAAAAAGTAGTATACTTTGTGAGAACTAAACTCATCTTTTCCTTGGATTCTCAGTTCATGAATGCTCATGGATGGACTAGAATTCCTCATTTACTTGTGTCTTTGGAAATGCTTTGTTTGCTGCCTGCAAAAAGGCATTTACAGCCATTGCGAATGCATAGCTCTTATAGCTTTCTTGCGGGCAACCTACAACTTGCATTTTTTTAGGATAAGTGTGTGTGTGTGATCAATTGTGTGAAGTATGTATACGTCATTGAACTTAATTGTGGCAATACACACTTTGGAAAGTGCATGTACATGTAGACTTCAAACCAGGAGCCAGTAGTTTTCTTCAAAGTATCTCTCCAAATGCCCTATTGCTCAAGGCACGCTTTGTTTTTTTAATTGAACGTGGCCTGTGGTGAATCGATGCATGGACAGGATTCACAAGAGGCAGTCTTGAGCTGAGACTACAATAGTGTTGTAGCCAGCCAAGTAGCCTCCACTAGCCAGTCATTTGCATGAAAAGTGCTGCCAGTGAGCTATTGCAAAGGATGGGGATACATCAAGAAGACACTGGTGAAAAGCCTGGTTGGTCAGAAGTGCTATATATATATAAACATATATGTACATTCTACATAAAAGTTTTAAATAGGACAAGGGACTAGTCTATTTTAAGGATAGAGAAACTTTTGTTTATCTATTTTTCATACATTAAGTACTGAAGTATATTTGCAAGTGAGCAAATTTGATTTTTCTGATGAAATTTTGTTAGCCATTTCTTTTCACTTTTTCAGATACAGTGTAGGTACTTTAATCTTAGTTAATATTGTAGATCAATGATTAAATGAAGGAGGCCGGATGAAGTAAAAGGAGGCGAAAGGGAAGATGAGATTAGAAAAAGTGAGAACATTTGTTGGTGTTGCTGTTTGGTGGTCCTCGATTTCCTTTATCATAAAGAATTGTCAGTGGAACCATATTTGTTTAACTAAACATTTATTCCCTAGCAGAGAATGAGAAAGTGCTAATGTATTATTGAATGTAGTTAAAATCAGATGGGACCTGATTTCATGTATAATTTTTATTTATTTAAAATTTGTTTACACATGCAGTGTACTATCAGCCGAGAGCCAAAAAAGACAATTCAGTAAAGTATACTTATGCCCTTCTGGTTCTCAGCAGGTTTTTCATCTTCAAATCCTGAAGAGAATTAGTATCATTTCTAAGTTTGTTTTCGTATCAAGAAAAAAAGTTTATTTTCGTAGCAAGAAACATTATTTTTCATGTTTCTTTTCTTGATGATCATATCTTTGTGCCAAAATGTTTTTTCTTGCTATGTCATGTGTAGTTTCAGTGTCAGAGTTTTTACTCAGAAAAAGTTTGTTGTTGTTTGTCCTTTGTTGGTACATGACAAGTTTTGTATCTCATTGATAAGTTAGTCGAGAGACATTGATAAGAAAGAGGAAAAATATTTGGTTTTATTTTCTGCCTCGAGTGATTGTGCTATCTGTAATCGATGTAAAGAAGCCTCTACCAGTTGACGTATGCTGTCACTTTGACACATATCTCGGTATTTCGCAAAGGACTGTCATAATCCATTGCAAGTCTGAATGAAAGTTCTGGAATTTTTTCTTTGTGATATTTTACAACTTTTGCAATTGTCTTGAAAGTTTGGACCACATGTGGAAGAAATGTGATGATATAATGTATAAAAACAAGACTTTGTTAATGTTGATTAAGAGTAAAATAGTTATAGTAATGTTAGCCAGTTAATACTTCAGTCACCTACAAACTACAAACCGAACCAAAAATGACATTAGTGCTAATGGCCCAATTGGTCGGTCTGATGTTGATGTGGTGTTGGTTTGGCGGTGTGGCCAAGGGATAAGAGTTAAAGAAGTAAGTGTTTCTCTTCATTTCTCTTCATTTTCGTTTAATTTTTGAATGTTTTATCGATGTTCACTTGTGACTGGCATAATTAAGGCTATTCTTTGTAACACTGAACTCCTGCTGATGTAGTAAAGATGAGAATAAAGAAGATAAAGTAAACCTACACCAAGATGATCAAGGGGATCATTTGTTAAATATTTGAATGTTCATGAAGTATTAAATTATTTGTGAAACATTAAGGTAAAGCAAAATTTCAGGGATTGTTAATCCTCATTTGAAAACGTTATGAAACATAAAGCTTGAAATTTGTTTGCTTCTGTGTTCACTGCAGCAAGCTCTTTTGTTATGAGTATAATTTAAAGTTTGTACAGAAGAATAAGAATGAAAAAAGTTTATTTTTATGAGTTTTGTTGTATTTCCTGAAAAGAATTTGACTTGATATTTTTGTGAATTATCTTGAAGAAGACAAAAAACGGAGCAATGAGAACTGTCTAGATTTCATTCTTTTAGTCAAAAATAATTTGATGTCTTGAAAATTCATTACATATTACTTTTCCATTTGTATCATGAGAATTCAAGAGGACCTTTTGTTTTCTATTATGTTATGTTGATAAATAATATCTTTTTTGTGAAAAATAATTTGGAAGGAAAAAATAGTCATCCGATTGTCATGGTCAAAGTTTAGGTATTCATATTTCTTCCTGCAACTATATTGCTCTTATGAAAATTATAATTCGGATACAGTATGCCAATTCAGTATGATTTTTCAAGATTGCATAATACTTGCGGTATCAAATATGGAATCACTTTTGATCGAATTCCATCCAGTGTAGGTTTTACAACTCAAAATGGCAAAAAGCAATACTTTTTTAATTATCAGGTAGAAGATGAATGTATCTGTTCTTGCTAAATCAGTTGTTTGTTAGAAAATGGGATATGAAGTTGGATGATATACCAAAGTTACTCATTGTATTTGAAACTTGAAATCTATCTCATACACTGTAGTAGCAGATATTAAAGGGGGTATCAAATACTTTTTTTTCTCTCTAAAGGCTGATTCATATATGACATGGTAAATTGCAGCAAATAAAAGAAAAAATTATATGTAAATGAATGGCAACTGCGGGCAACAGAGGGCAACAGAGGTCCTGCGCGTATTCACCGAGTTCTGTCTTGTAAGATACAGAAATGTGAAAATTACTGCATATTTTACTTCATCTTTTTTTTTTGCCACAGTTAAACCATGTCATATCTGAATGAGGCCTTATAGGGGAAGAAGTACAGTTTACTTTGTATTAGATTTGTTATTATCAAATACATGTAAGAACTATTTGGTTTATACTTGTAGTAGAATTAACAAGAAACTGTTTACAGTTAAAACCATGCAGGGAAGTGTTACAAATTTAGTTTTCTTTGCTGAATTCCTCTTAGACCACATTCCATTTTGTTCACTATTCTATGTTGAACTAATAAATGACCTCAGTGACTATATACCGGTAATGAGTGCATTTTTTGTTTGTCTGTAGCTAAGTGTATGTAGAAATCTCAATCATGTATGTTGTCAGCTTTACACATTTATCTCTACAATATATCTTCCCTCTTCATTTATTTTGTCCCTCCGAGTCTCTACTAACTCTATCTACGCCATCTCCAGAATCATATTTCACTATTTTCCTTGTCCTCTATGTAATCATACTTAAATTTCTTGAATTTATTATTTTCCTCCCCTTGTCACTATTTCAGCTCCATTAATATTCATATCCCATTATCTCCTTTATTCTCTTTTTATCTTATTTATTCATCCTTCTCTTTACCCATTTTCCTTTACAGCCTCACTCTCATGCTCTCTCTCTCTCTCTCTGTAAGTCAATCCTGCTTTTTGTCAATATCAACTCACCCTTCTCATTATCCATTTTTCTCTACACCCAGTAACCCTCTCTCTCTTTAAGTCAATCCTCTTATTTGTCATTATCTACTCACCCTTCTCCTTATCCATTTCTCTTTACAACCTCACACACTCTCATTCTCTCTCCTCTTTCTCCACACTGATTCCTACCTATCAATCAACATTTAAGGAATTTACTTTATGAATGGACATGTACCACTCAAGCAATGTTCCCTTTCGATATCTGGCATCAAACAAAGTGCAAAGTATTCATGAAGTACTCTTTGATTTCTCATTTTATTGAGAATAACATATCACTGCTATTCAAACGCAGTCTTTTCTCAAACGATAGGTTTCTTTGTAAGATGTATGGCACATCCATCACCACAACATCAAACCATCTTAAAAACATGTACATATATCTATATACAGCTGGATTTTTATCAACTGACTTGATAAAAAAACAAATCCACATAATATTAGGAGCGCATTAGAATCATCACATTATAAGCTTGGGTGGAAGAATGAATTTCAATTTGGTTATTTCAATTTGATGTGTGTGTATGACTTAAGATCTGAA